AATTTGGTTTGTTAGTATTTTGTTTAGGATTTTTACATTACTCTTCATCTGGTCTGTAGTTGGTCTGTAGTTAATATTGGTTAACAGCATTATTTTGGTCTGTAGTTTTCTTTTTTAATAGTATCTTTGCCCGGCTTTGGTATCAGGATAGAGTAGCTTTATCAAATGAGTTTGGGAGTGTTTCCTCTTGGTTTTTGGAAGAGTTTGAGAAGACTGATGTTAATTCTTAAAAGTGCTTTATATAGAATTCTCCAGTGAAATGTGGGCTTTTCTTTTTTGGGAGGTTTTTGATTACTGATTCAATCTTCCTGTTAGTAACTGATCTGTTCCGGTTTTAATCTTGGTAGGTTATATGTTTCTTCTATGGCATCAGTTGAAATATTTCCTCTTTCATTTCTGATTTTAGTTATTTGTATCTTCTCTCTTTTTTGTTTTTAAATTAAAAAAAAATTTTTTTTAACTTAGAAAATTTTTATTGTTTGTTTTGACTGCCCTGGGTCTTCATTGCTGCTAGTGAGCTTTCTTTAGTTGCACCAGGGGTTACTCCCTAGTTATGGTGTATAGACTTCTCATTGTGGCGACTTTTCTTGTTGTGGAGCACGGGCTTCGACAATTGTGGAGCATGGACTTCATTGCCCCGAGGGATTTTCCTAGACCAGGGATCGAACAGGTGTCCCCTACATTGGCAGGCAGATTCTTAACGACTGGACCACCAAGAATGTTCTTTTTCTTAATGTAGATAAAGTTGTGTAAACTTTGTTCATCTTTTCAAAAAACCAATTCTTGTTTTTGTTGTTTTTCTTCCCTCTTTTATTTCTGCACTGCTGTTCATTTGCTAAGTCATGTCTGCCTCTTTGTAACACCATGGACTGCAGCACAGCAGGCTTCCCTGTCCTTCACTATCTCCCAGAGTTTGCTCAAACTCATGTCCATTGAGTCAGTGATGCCATCCAGCCATCTCATCTTCTGTCACCCTCTTTCCTCCTGCCCTCAGTCTTTTTCAGCATTAGGATATTTTCCAATGAGTCAACTCTTCCCATCAGGTGGCCAAAGTATTGGAGCTCAGCTTCAGCATCAGTCCTTCGAATGAATATGCAGAGCTGATTTCCTTTAAGATGGACTGGTTTGATCTCCTTGTTGTCCAAGGAACTTTCAAAGTCTTTTCCAGCACCACAGTTTGAAAGCATCAGTTCTTCGGCACTCAGCCTTCTTTATGTTCCAGCTCTCACATCCATACATGACTACTGGAAAAACCATAGCTTTGACTGTACATATATGAACCTTTGTCGGCAAAGTGATGTTTCTGCTTTTGAATAGACTATCTCGGTTTGTCGTAGCTTTTCTTCCAAGGAGCAAGCGTCTTTTAATTTCATGGCTACAGTCACCATCTGCAGTGATTTCTCCTCTAATCCTTGTTATTTCCTTATTTTGCTAATTTATGTTTTATTTTGTTCTTTTTTTGAACAGAAAAAGAACAGTTGTGCATTTAGGTTGCTGACTTGAGATTTTCCATAGAATCTTAAAAAAAAAAAAACAAAAAACCAAAACCTTTTGCATGGCAACAAACCACTGCAAACAATAGCAAAAGACAAATGACAAACTGAAAGAAAATATTTGTAACATTTCTCAGAGATAAAGGGCCAATATCTTTTATATATGAAGAATTTTTTAAAATCAAGGGAAAATAAACTAAGACTCCCAATGGAAAACTGGTGAAGTGCCATGAACATTCACTTCACTTTCAAACAAATATTAAATGGCTCCAAAATCCTGTGTAAAGATGTTTAATATCAGTAATGATTTCTTTTTTAAGTGCAAATTTAAAGTATACTGAGGTGTCATTTCTCAGCCACTGAACTGGCAACAGTGAAAAGGTAGATAATATACTCTGAAGGCAAGTCAGTGGGGAAACAGGCTCTCTTGTACATTGCTGATAGTACCACAGTATGGTAAAGCTCTTTCAGAGGGGAATTTGGCAAGATGTAACAAAATTTAAACTGTATTTGACTTTTGACTTAGGAGTCTCACTTGTAGGAATTTATCCTGAAGATATATTCTCATCAGCATAGAAGTGTATTTGCACAAGGCTGTTTGTTGTATCATTATTTGTAATTGTAAAATATTGGGAACACATAAATCCCCACACATAGGGTAGCAGTTGAATAAAGCTGTGGTATACAATGAAGTGCTGTATACTCTACTTTTAAAAAAAGAATGAAGAAGATCTCTAGTAGCTGTCATAAAATGAATTCCAGGATATACTGTTAAGTGAAAAAAGCATAGTGTAAAAAAGTACATATGGTATGCTACCTTGTGTGTATGAAAGGCAGGGATATGGAAAAAATATGGTTATTTTTTGCACAAAGAAATACAGGCAGGATAAATCAATAAGGAGATTGGTTACCTATAATGAGTGAGTGGTTTTGAGGTAGAAGTGGTTATTGTTTGGTAGGTACCTACCTAGTGTGTGGGTTTTTCACACCCATCAATTCTCCAGTTCTCTGCAGACAGCAGCTCACTGTCCTGCAATTTAATTCATTTCTGACATTAACTACCTGGAGTCAGTGGAGGCCCCATAGGCTCATTTCCACAAGACTGCCCCCCGCCTTTGGGTTCCCTTGGTGGCTCCGATGGTAAAGCGTCGGCCTGCAATGCGGAAGACCTGAGTTCGATCCCTGGGTTGGGAAGATCCCCGGGAGAAGGAAGTGGCCAATCACAAGTACAGACCTTCCTTGACTTACAGTGGGGTTACATCCCAATAAACCTATCATAAGCTGAAAATATTGTAAGTTGAAATGCATTTAATTGGACACCTGATGCACAGAGCTGACTCATTGGAAAAGACCCTGATCTGGGAAAGATTGAGGGCAGAAGGAGAAGGGGGTGACAGAAGATGAGATAGTCAGATGGCATCACTGACCCTATGGTTGTGAGTTTGAGCAAAATCTGAGAGATAGTGAAGGACAGGGAATCCTGGCATGCTGCAGTTTGTGAGGTTGCAGGGAGTCGGACACAACTTAGCGACTCAACATAGAACAACAATCTACTGAATATCATAGCTTAGCCTTGTCTACCTTAAATGTGCTCAGAACACTTTCATTAACCTACAGTTGGGCAAATGGAATGGCTGTATGTTTACAGAATGGTTTTAAGTGTGTGAGCCATTTGTGATCGTGTGGCTGAGTGTGAGCCGTAGCTTGCTGCTACTGCCTAGCATCACAAGAGAGAATCATATCCAGGAAAAAATAATTGAAAATTCAAAGTATAGTTTCTATTAAATGTGTATTGCTTTTATACCATTGTAAAGTGAAAAAAAAAAAAAAGAAATCACTAGTTGAATTTATCATAAGTTGGAGACTATTTGTAGTGTTTCCACATTGCTTCCCTCTGGCTAGCTTGGCTATATGGGGTTGCTTAATTCAGCAGGTGGGATCTTAGTTCCTGGGCTAGGGATCGAACCCATGCCTCCCGCACTGGGCGTGTAGAGTCTTAACCATTGGACCACTAGGGAAGTCCCTGTTCAACTTGGCTATAAATCAAAATTCCCAGCACCTCTCTGCAAGTTTGATTATTTGCTATAATGGCTCACTGAACTCAGGAAAATACTTAATATTACCAGTTTACTATAAAGGGTAGAAATGATCACCAGGTGAAGAGGCTCATAGGGCAAGGTGCAGAAGAGTCCCAAACCCAAGAGCTCCTGTCCCTATGAGGTTTAGGGTACATTACCCTGCTGGCACAAAGATGTGTTCACTAACTCAGGAAGTTCTCCACATCCCTTACTTTAGAGAGTTTTGTTTTGTTTTGTTTTTTAAAATGGAGACTCCTTTACCTAGGCATGCTTGATTAAATAATTGGTCATTGGTGATTAGCTCAATCCCCAGTCCCTTTCCTCTCTCTAGAGGATGGAGGGTAGGGCTGAAAGTTCTAAGCTTCTAATTATGACATAGTCTGTTCTAGAGTACTGCTGTTCATGTGACTCCACTTTAGGAGCTGCAGTTTTTTTGATTCAGTTTAAACTTACCCCCCCCCCCCCAAGTGAACTGATTAGTCCAGCTCTTACAAGGGACAGACTTTCAAGGATCATTTGCATATGTAGATTGGGCCAATTCCTTGAGAAGAGGAAATTTCTCTGAATCTGGAAACCACCTCAGATCTTATCTGCCTCAGAAGGATTTGCTCAGAGTTTAAAAAAAAAAAAAATCAAGCACAGGGACTTACTTCCCCTGAGGTCCAGTGGCTAAGGCTTCGAACCCCAGAACCCCAGTGCAGGCGTGGGGCTCAATCCCCTGTCAGGGAACTAGATTCCACATGCCTCAGCCGAGACCTGGTGCAGCCAAATAAATAAAAATCAAAGCACAGTCCAAAATACTGTGTATTATATGATCCTATTTTGTAGCAGTATAGATTGTTTAGTATAGTATAGTATAGTTTTGGCATGGGAGTGGAGAATCAAGAGTTTTCTCTGGATATGTTAATTTTGCGATTGCTATTAGACGTTCAAGTGAAGAGCTGTGTTCTTTTGTGGGCAGAGTAGCAAACAAGTACTGCTGGCCTTTGTATTTTCTAGATCAGAATCAGCCCTTCTCTCCTGTGGTATAGAACTGAAGAGTGTCAACTCCTTTTAGACAGTTAAGCAAATCCTGAGCTTGAACAGAGAGTGTCCTTTGGGTACCTGCATCACATGCATTCCATTCAGAGGTGGGGTTCCCAGCTGGCCCTGATGCATGTTAGATTCTTCCTCTCACTACACGCCCATCTCCATCAGCTTCTTCTCTCCTGTGTTAAACGGTCTCCTCATCGTGCTGGGCTTCATTTTCCTCTCATGTAAATTATCCTTGACGACTTCTTTGTCTGTTTTTCCTTTTTGCTGTAGCACAAATGATAAATAAAAGTCACCTAAACATCCTTTTTAACAGCTGAGGCAGTGATAGTTCAGCTCAAAGACGTAAACACTTTGAGAACCAGGAGCTAATAAATGCAAATATTTAATCTTTCAGATATCCACACAGAAGCAGTTCAAGCTGCACTGGCAAAGCATAAAGAACAGAAAATGGCTTTGCCCATGCCCACCAAAAGGCGGTCCACATTTGTCCAGTCTCCTGCGGATGCCTGCACACCACCTGGTAGGTTTATCAGAAGCTTTCTCTCTGACAGTTACTACTTTGATGTTGCTTGAGTTTTGCTTTTTCTTTTCTGAGGTAGGAGCTAAAACTCTCTCCTCGTCATCAGAAATGTATGAGTACACACTAAAGGTGACAGGTTTTGATTATTTCACTGTAAACAACACACATTAAGGCCTTAAGAGTAAAGTTTTTTTTTTTTAATTTTCTTCTGAAATTCCAGAATTTCCTTGCTCTAACCTCCAAACTCATGTAGTCATAAATAAAGCCAAAGTTTAGGGTCTAAGAAATACCCTTCTGTGACTAAATAGCTATTCTTTATTGACATCCAGAATATGACCCACAGTCATATATGTATGTCTTTAACAAATTTATTCTCCTAAATCAGATCCTTTGTCTCTGCAACAGTCACAGGAGTATGTGATCTGGGGACAAAATGTTTTTGTGTTATGAAAGAGAGCATTCATGCCAAGTTACAATAAACCTAGAAAACATATGTAAGTGTTTATGTGTGTGTTAATCTATTTTGTATATGTTTATATTTCTTTAAAAATCCACTTTCTATAATTGGATCAGGAGATAAGCCAGAACTAAGAGGCCCGTCACCACCCTCCAGACTTGGAAGACTTACCACCCCACCCCCCACCCCCCACCACCACAAATTCATATTTGAAGAGCAACTAGAACACCTTTAAGTTGTCTTTTCCATTCGGAATCTTCCCCAAAGTTTTTAAAAATTTAGATGAAATCTCAGAATCTCAATGTGTAGGCCTCTGAGACTGAACAGTCCATCTGTTTCAGAGCCTCAGTATAGTGTCTGTTTCTCCACTGTCGTGTTCCTGGTAATACAGTCTTTGGGGGAGAAACATTTCCTGAACTGTTTTGGTCTCAGTGACTTACCCTTCCTTTTGGGGGAGATTCCCAGGAAGGTTACATTTGTCATGGTTGACTCTGATTCACAGCTGTCAAGTTGAGCTGTTCACACTGATCCTAGCCCCTGGCCTAGGTTTATATTAATAGTCTTCTCCTAGGTTCTGGCTAACTTCTGAGGGCATCTGGACGTGCTATGGGCTCATTAACTGTGTGTGCTTTTTTTCTTTACATCTGTGGTGTCAGTATGTTCCAAAGAGAAATAGCTCTGTGGCTTCAAGTGATCCTCAAAATGTAACGCAGGATACCTCTAGCAGACCGTCACAATGAGACGTTTTGTGTCTGTAGTGGTGCATACTTCCAGCCCACTCGTTCAGAATCTTGGATGGCTTCCCTGTCGCCTTAGTACAGCACCAGCCGGGTTCTCGTGGACAAAGGGGGCTCTCAGTCTCACGGCTATTCCTTGTTGGCAGATTCTGGCGCAGCATAGCTGAGGGTTCAATTGTAGTAAATGGCAAAGGGTAGGGAGCAGCGCAGACTCCCAAGTCCTTAGAACCAGTCCTCCCCAGAACTGTGCTAAAGAAATGCAGCTGTGAAGTAGTCCTCTTCCATGGCCTCAGGTAAAATGGGAGAGTGCAGCAAAGGATTTTGAGAATGTGCAGACGGAATGGAAACCTTTTCTGTCCCCTTCCAAAGTCACTGCCTGAAGGGAATTCACCAGCTCTAAATCGAGGCTGTTTATTGCTGAACAAGGCCTTAGTCCTGTGGAATTCACCACAGGCTTCTCTATTTGTAAACATGAATGTTCTACTCTGTCTGCAGCCTTAAAGAAGTGGCATCATTTTCTTGATTACCTGGTTGTTTTAATAATTTCATGATTGTAAAGATTCAGTTCTCTCTCTTAAGACCTTTATTCAGCAGAGCAGGCTAATAAGAAGGTTTCCTATCTATTTATGTCCTGTTCCGGGAACTCTGAATGGTATGTGAGAGATGTTGATATGCTCTTAGAGACATCAGTGTTGTCAAATAGAAGAGGGATTTTGTCCTAACTCGAGCACTGAGAGCACCCCATGTAGCAGTTTTTCACATGGCCCCTGCAGGAGCTGAACCTTGATGCACTTGACGCTCTTGTTCAACAACACACGTGCCTGGAGCCATCCTGTGCTCCAGTGTGAGGGGCTCTGGAGGGACTGTCTCAAAAGGCTTCTCTCGGGACCTCCCCACTGGGGGGATGGAATTTGTTCTTCCAAGTTAGGATAAGGACTTCCCTGGTGGCTCAGGTGGTAAAGAGTCTGCCTGCAATGCAGGAGACCTGGGTTCCATCCCTGGGTTGGGAAGATCCCCTGGAGAAGGGAATTACTACCCACTCCGGTATCCTTGCCTGGATATGGATTCCATTCTCTCCAAGCATCTGAGAGCCACCAGTTAGAGACTTGGCCCTTGAACCTTAACCCTTTTATCACTGTCTCCGAGAACCTGTTACAGCCTAACCCAGGGAAGGCAGGTAGGTTTTATCTTGCCTTTTTATTAGCCCCCAAAACACTAAAGTTTAGAGGAAATGCTGAAGCTCTGCTCAAGGGGTCAAGAGGAAGAAGAGAGTTGACATGAATTACTGATGGTTACAGGCTGATTTAAAATCAAAACAGAATAGGTTCTAGGCAGCTATGAAAGTGACATTGCTATTTTCTTTCTAGAAAAACTGTGCCACTCTTGCAGGGCAAGACTAACCTCAGATTTCACGGTATTATAGTTACATTGTCCTTTGTGCACTGAGAGGCCACACCACACACATGTCACAAAACGTGCTTCTGCTCAGGGCCCTTCCTCTGCCCATGCTGCGCCAGGTGAACCTAGTTTCTGGGATACCTGCTAAAGTGCACTGGCCAGTCGGCGTCTTAGAGACGCAACCAGCGTATAACTGTGGGAGTCACTGAAGTGGTGTAAATCTAGAGCTGATTTTGGAGGGATTTAACAAAAAGAGTCTGGAAGTGAACTATGTCATAAATCTTGGTTTTATTCATAGTAATCATATATAATCTGGAAAATATGGTAAACATTTGGCATGAGAGCTGATTTGTCTTTTGTTCATAAAGCCTTCTCAAATAATAAAATGTCAGTCACTCTAAAACCTGCTTATTGATACATGTACTGATTTCTATCTTGTGGATTGGAAAATCTAAATTCTCCAAGTTGGTAGCAGTCTGTGGTTCTTTTAGTGCCTGTGGCCTTTTTCATAGTCTTTCAGACTGTTTGAATTATTGCCATCCAGTTCCCTTTATGTGCTGAAATCATTTACTAATGTCATGAGGCAATTACCTCAGCTCTTTCTTTGTAGGGCTTCTTTGTGTAATGCTATTACTCATTCATACAGATAAACACAATGCAAAAACTACAGCATATATTTTTTTTCTCTAAGCTTTTTCTGCACCCATGTGGGCTTACCCTGCACTACATTTTGAGGGTGCTCAGATGAACAAATAGACCACATAATGACCCCAAAGCACAGTAAGCTGTTTTGACTGGCTTGCCTAGAATGAAGCTTAAAATTTAGAGATCTGAGTTTCTCTTATACAGGGCTCTGCTTGAAAGTGACTGTAGTAGTAATTCCCAGGGCCAGACAAAGACATTTACCTCTCTGTATTTCTATATATGAAAACAATGCCCATGAACAGACTGGAATATTGTTACAGTTTTAGCAAACTTTAATGATGCTATATGAAATTACAGGATGCAGAGGACTTTCATATACCAGCGGCTGCCCTGTCTCAGCTGTTCTGCTTAACCAACTACTCTGTGAAGTGGAAAGTCCAGATTTCTTTAGAGATGAGGAAACAGACAAGCTTTTACTCACTAAGTGATTTGTCCTAGGATTCAGCAATTATGTGTCAGACTCGTTGCTTGATTTTGTTTTTTACTCTTGGAAAGTCCTTTTTTGCTTAATAGATACTCCTATATGCATGGTCCTAGCATGGGTATTATTCCAAACAAATTGAACAGTTGTCGCCTTCTGAGAGCTTATAGGCTAAAACACATTATTAGTCAGTTACTAACTTGGAGAGTTACCCTAAATATTCTAATTTTATTCAGAATCACAAAGTAAACAGAGATGGCAAATCAGACCTCTATAAATGTGCTATAATTAATAAATTTTGGATCTTTTAATAACATGCTTTCATTAGTATTGATATGAGTTACGAGCAGAGCTCCGCAAGTACTTAGAAGTTTAGTATTCAATATTCTTTAAGCCAAAGCACAATAAAAACCCAGTCATCAGATTGAATTAGTTTATTTCAATAAGTGATTGTAAAATTTAAAATTTTCCCATAAACATAATTCATAGCTACCGTTTGTTGAGTACCTCTGTGTATTAGTCAAAAGGCTAAGTGCTTAACATTTTTTCATCATTTGTTTTCTTGACAATTCTCTGTTTGATTTTACAGATGAGACAACAGATTTAAAGAGGCTCAATAACTTGCTCAAACATCTATTTCTAGCTGGGTGGTCAGTTAGACAACCTGAAAACTCTCTCTTAGAAAGAGGGAAAAGAAAACTTCTCTTTAGAAATACTAGGTAGAATTTAATCAGCTTCCTTTTAAATGCATACAGGAGTGAGAGAGGTAGAGAATGATCACTGAAAATCAGTGTGGTGAGATGGGGCTAACTTTGGCTCTCCTAGGGAGGAGACGAGACCATCAAAAAAGTACCTAAATTTTAATTACTGTAAGGATAGGAAAGGTAAAATCTCAGACACATATAAGGTTGGAAGTTGGGATTGAGATCCCCAGAGGGGTTCACATCTTTAGCAGAAGGGACAACTAGAAAAAATTAAATTAAAAATTAACTTCTCAGCAAAAGAAAATCTCGAGAAAGCTTGCCTCTTTGCCTTAAAATAATGAGGGCAGGGACCTTCTCTAATAATTTGTGGTCACTAGGTATAAGAATTGAATTCTGGTGTCCTGTTTGTTAAATCTAATGTTAGAAAGTGGTCCTAGGCTGATGATAACCTGGGGCACAAGTGGTTTCTGGGAGGATACATCAGTCCAGGAATTTAAAATCCCCACAGATAAAGATCCACTGGATTTTCTGAGCAAACAATGCCAAAATAGAGAGAAAAGAACAATAGCAAAACAGTAGAATTAAGACCCATAAGAACTGATTTGCCCAACTCCGATCAATGGCAGAGCTAAGATTGGAGTCCAAAGCAGTCTGGCCTTAAAAGCCTATTCTCTAAACCACTTGGCACATGGCCTCTCATCCTACCATGCTGATGGTTTAGTCACTAAGTCGTGTCCGACTCTTGTGACCCCATAGACTGTAGGCTCCATTGTCCATGGGAGTCTCCAGTCAAGAAGACTGAAGTGGGTTGCCATTTCCTTCTCCAGGGGATCTTCCCAACCCCTGGATTGAACCCCTGGTCTCCTGTACTGCGGGCAGGTTCTTTGCCAACTGAGCTACCATGTCAAGTAAACGTTTTCTGGTTTTGTTCTGGAGCTCTAGCAGTTGCTGCATATTTGGTCTAACTTTTTAAGTAGGCAGTAAGTTTAAAAAAAAAAAAAAGTACCTGTCTTCTCACAGCAAGATTAATTGTAATATCAGTTCATTTTGTGAAATGTTTTTTCATAGACCTGGGACAATACCTTGAAAACAGTGTTCGGAAATCCCTCATGGGTTGAGTGATCCTGGAGTAATTATTACTAGCGCCCCTCTCTCATAAGTATCCCCATATGAATGTTAATAGACAACACATGGGCCTCTGCTGATTCGTGATTACATAGTAATTTCCCATCCCAGCCAGCTCTCTGTGCACCACGGTCACTGTGGGATGCTGGAAAATCTCTCAGATAGTTCTGAACATCTTCCTGATCCATGTCTGGTCAATCAGTATCCACCTGATTAAGTTTAGTGCTAGATTAATCACTTCCAGAATTTGTAGCCCAAGGTAAGTCCATGATGGACTGCTTTAGAACTAACCTTTTAATCTTCTCTTCCATATAAGTTTTTATTCCTAGACTGCACCTTCTTGGGTCTCTAAAACTTTTCCTTCCTAAGCTTCATACTCTTTTCTTTGCCTACGTGGAAACTTACTTTGCCTCTCTTGAAGGTTCTGGAAGTCCTTCATTCCCCTGACCCACCAGTGCAAGAGAACATGACACTCTCCTGCCTGATACCATCCCTTCCCACCCTGCCTGCCCCAAACACACACAAATATTTCTTTTCATGGACTCCAGACTGCTGTGCACTAACTGGATTAATGGTTGTTTCCCTTACTTGTTCTTTGAAGCTCTCATTTCCTGGCCTAGTTTATGTGTCATATTTTGTAGCAGTTGTTAGGGTGAGGTCTTCCTTTCAGTGAGTCTTGACTTACCTGCTGTTCTAAGCTGGTATCTGGACCTAATTTGGATATAGGCTGTCAGAACCCAGTGTCAGACATTGTCTTTCCAGGGACTTGTGTAGCTTACACCATACTCCTCATTATATGTTTCTTGATTGGTTATAAATGGATTTTAGACTTCCGGTAATCAGTATTAAATGATACAGTGTTAAAGTCACACCAGTTACAACCTGAAGGGCAAGCTGTATTTCCAGAATATTTTCCTGTTGTGTGAACCTATTAAATCCATCATATACAAGAGGTTCGGCAAGAACGTGAGTTATGATGGATAAGAGTTGTGAGTTCCTATTCAACTGGAGCAGAATCAGTGGGAAAAGAATGACTTTGTTAATATTAATTTAATCTTGCCCAATTTTGTACTAATCCCTAACAATTTTGTGAGTGACAGTTACTTTTTTTAAAAAGGTACAAAAGAAATGTTTGAATATGTAAAGGAACTTTTTTTTTTTTTTAAAGATATAGTCCTAGAGAGGTGCTTACATTTTGTATAATCTTGACATGTAAACTGTAAAACTTTGCAGAGCCGAAGTTCTGTACCTGTGAGGTAGCATAGGGTGGGATTTTCAGGGGAAAGGGGGACTTGATGTTTATTGGCCACCTGTTACATGCTGGCACTGCTGGTGCTTTCTGTAACTTGTCTTGTTTTGGGCTCTCCCACAGCAGTTAGCAGAGGTTGGCAGCTAAGTTTCCTTAGCTGATTTACATGGCCGTTAGCAACCCAGTACTGTCTGCTTGTCCAGCCTCATCTTTTGTCACTACCAGTTTTGCATCCTGTGCTTCAGCTAGTCTCGTTTCCTCCAGATCTTCAAATGTGCTTTGTTTCCTGTCCCCTCCCAGGTTTCTTACCTGACTCCCCTCTGTCCCCACCTCTGTGCCACTCATAAATAATTCCTGCTTAACCCTTCTCACCTTGGTTGAGGTCTCACTTCCTTGGGCACCAACCCTGAACTTCTTGAAGACTCTAAGTCCTGTTAGAGTGGGGACTGTGTCTTCTTGCTTACCATATTATTCCTGCCAACTAGTGTAACCCTTAGAGTATTTATTAAATGGATAAATAAGCAAACAGCCTTCTCAGATGGGCAACTTTGTCCCCTACATAGCTTGTAAATGGTGGCCCCAGAGTTCAAATGCAAGGACACCAAAGCCATATTTTTTCCACTGCACTAAGCCTCCCCACAGTTGTAGTCACTAAACACTCCAAGGAGGACTAGCAGGCAAATGAGGTAATTGAATTGAAACAATATACCTAATTACATAATTGATCCAATATAGAAACGTAATGAAGCCAGTTTTCCACAAACCTAATCATGAAAATACTGTTTTTACTATCTTTTAAAAATTGAGTTATTCTTATTTTAGACTTACACTGATTAAAATAAACGGTGCAGTAAAGACACTCTGTGAATACAGTGGAGGTTGTGGGATCCTGTGATGTATCACCCCAAAAATACTTTATTCTCGGGTCAGATTCACCTGTCCCATTCCTCCCATAGATACTTTTTCTTTTTTTTAAAGCATGTTTGCAAAGACAGAAATCTCTGCCTCCCAAGGTACAGTTGAACATTAAGATTATGCAGAAAGTGTTTTCATTAAGTAAAATGTTACAAGAGCTATCACTTTTCTTTCTCTGTATTTTCCTTTTGTTATCCCCCTTTGGATTATAAATCTTTCCCTTTTAAAGAACCTTATCACTTTATCCCTTTGGAGTCTGGTCACTGTTTACCTCTCCAGACTCTTTTTTGCTCTTACCTCCCCAAAGTCCACATGATTTACATAAAAGTATTTCAGTCCTTGACTGAGACTGGGGTTCCTCCTGTGAAACCCTTTGCTGACCCCATTTCTTGGCATCTATTATATGAAATAATCTGAGGAGTTGTGTGTCTTCTGTACTAGATGGTAAGCCTTCTTAGGGCATTTACTGTCTCATAAGAATTCATACATCTCAAAACTCCCAGAACTGACAGTTCCCAGCACATATTACATAGTTAAGTAGTACACTGTAAAATAATAATAAGTCTTGGGCCTCAGATCTCCTTCAATGTGAGATAATAAATCAGGGGTAGTTTGAGAGCAGGAAGAAAGGATATAGTCATTTTAACTTTCTTACTTCAGATCCTCACAATTTGACTTCTAGATTAAATTAGTCTTTTGTTCTTTGAATTTCTGTTGTCAGGAGCTAGCACTGTTCTAGTTCTGTTAGTTCTCTCTGGCTCTCTAAACTGAAGTAGAACATGGACTTTACAGTTTCACTTGAGTTAGAGGAAAGAGTTCAGCGGACTAACCATAGAATATTAATCTTTTTTTAAAACTGAATGAAATTCAGTGCACAAGCCATAAATTGTAACTCTCAGAATCATTTAGAAGGGTTTATCTGACATCAGACCAAATGCTGCTGTAACATGTATGCCTCATATGCTCAGAGCGCTGGAATAAATTCCTGACTTCTGCTTCCCTTAGCTGTCCTATATTTGGTTGAACTTTTCTCTTTTTATTTTTTTCTGCATACTTTTCTAATTTAGAAAGTCAGAGCCGGTCTAAATACAGATGCTAGTGAATTCCTCACAGTTCTCTGTGAACCAAGGAGAGCAGTACCTCTGTGGCCTCTCGTCTCGTTTGTAAAGCTCACCTGTGCCCTGTGACCAGCTGGCTTTCCCACTAAAACCCTGACTGCTTCTGGGCTGAGCGCTCTTTCTTATTTCACGGAAGTCAGTTCCCCAAAATCTAGTTCACTGTTTGGCACTTTAGTTGTTGTTACAAAAAATAAGATTTTTATATTTGCCATCAAGATCATTTCCTTTTAAGTAGACACTAATTAATAAGTACTTGTGAAAATCAGGGTAGCAGGCCATCACAATGGTCTCTAACAAAGACACTGAGGAAGATAATAGAAGCACTTCAGCATTATTTGAACATAAGGAGATAAGCCAGAAGAATTTAGATACTGATTAAGCCCAGAACCAAAAAAACAAAACAACTGCAACAACAACAAAAACAGTGAATGACGTTTAAATGTTCAAAAATGGGTTTTTAAAAAGAGCTTAAAATAACCTCTAGATTTTGGCTGTTTTATTTTTGCAAACTTTGGTTCATAAGCCTTTCTTTGAGATTCGCAAGAAACTTTGCATAAAATGTTTTTCTGCTGTCAAAGTCGAATGTGTGTTCATTGAGAAAGATCTGGAAGGTCTGTGTTCTAGGCAGGATCGAGAACTTCTGTTTTTCTAATTCCACACAGACACGTCTTCGGCCTCTGAGGATGAGGGCTCTCTGAGACGCCAAGCTGCTCTCTCTGCTGCCTTGCAACAGAGCTTACAGAATGCTGAGTCCTGGATCAACCGGTCAATTCAGGGATCGTCCACTTCTTCATCTGCATCTTCTACGCTGTCCCATGGAGAGGTCAAAGGAACCAGTGGGTCTCTAGCTGATGTATTTGCCAATACTCGAATAGGTAGGAGCTGAATCTCCCCAAGAAATTAAGTTCCATTTGGTTCCCAGTAGCCAGGAAGTAGTTTATGATTTGTGTTAGGTTTTCTCAGGGTGGCCTAAAAAAATAGTAGCAGAATGAACATGACAAACAGTGAGGCAAAGAAGGAAACAGGAGCAGCACATTTGGAACAATGGAGGATGTCTGCTTTATTGGCGATACTATTGCCCACCTGAAGCCATAGATATTTCCATAAGCAATACTCAAGCTGCAAGATGTAACACCAGTCTCAGTGTGCTTTTCCCTGCTGGAGAATATTCCATCAAGGAAAAAGTGTTCAAAGAGACAACATCTTAGACTTTTCCCAGGATTGTTGCCTGCATTCTCTCTCTCAAAAAAAAAATTTGAGAAAATTTGGAATTAAGACAGTATCACTGGGACTCTTTAGTCTGTAGCATAAAGACTGGATTTGTTGTTCTTGCTGCTGCACTATTGCTACAACAGAAGTGTGCGGGCTGAGAATATCGGTCAGTGCTTTCGCTTGACTTGGCTTTATGTTTGTGTGTGTGTGTGTTCTAAGCGTCTGTGACATCTGCAGATAAAGTTCAGGTCTCTGCCTTTGCTTAATTAGTTGGTACACACAGTATGAAGCGATAGATATAAACATCATGTGTCTGTGATACTACTCCTTTTTTCTTGACAATCCATTTGCATTTTGGTGTCTTAATTTTTTGTCAGTGACCTTCCTGTACTACTTTATAAGTATGTTTATTAAGTGATTTCTGAAAAGGAAAAACTTGGAAACCTTTTGATTCAAACCTGTAATTTTTAAAGAAAATAGCTACCTTAAGGTCATGCTTGCCCACAGTAAAAGGTCAGGGCCAGCAGCCGATGGCTTGTCCTGTGCTCTTAATTGACTGACACCTCCTCCCCCCCCCCCCCCCCCCCCGCCCCGCCCCGGCCACCCCACCCCAAAGCAGCTACAGATGAGCAGACTCAACACTTCTCCTATTGGGAGGGTCAGCAACAGAGCCATGACGGGATCAGGTTTTATTTCCACATTGTCTAAGAGAGGAGTTTCACTTGTGAAAAATAGTTTCCTGGTACTCAGTTAACTTTATCTCAGTTTTTGTTAAGGAGGTGGTTTTACCTGACTTCATATCTCATATTGCTTCTACTCTCTGAAAAGTTCAGGAACTCACAGGAACCATTTTATCCAACATTATTGCCTTTTGGATGCTTGCTCTAACAGAAGTTAATAAGTACTTCATGCTTCTAAAGAAAAAATTTGAAAATACAGATAAAAGGAAAAATAAGCTACAGCCCCACTTACGTATAAACACTTCAATGTTATCACTTTCATGTAGATCCTAGACTTGCTATTTGCATAACATAAGGCTCTGGTTTTGTTCTTACAGAAATGAAATGGTACTAAATAGAACCTGCTTTTATTAGCAGACATGTCTGCTTTTAAAGCAGAAATCTTTTCTATTGTTAATATAGAATCATACTTTTGTCTTCATGGTTTCAAAATATGCCACTGTGTGGCTCTGCCATGGTTTATTTTAGCCATTTCCCTATTTTGGACATTTAAGTAGTATCCAGTTTTTTGCTGTATGAAAACTGAAATGAACATCCTCACACACACAACTTTGTGCATTCGTTTGATTATTTCCTCTTAGGATGTATTCCTATAAGTGGAATTGGATCAGGTACCTGGATCAGGTAAAAAATGTCTATTTTTAATGCTTCGTTACCACATCATGCTACAGAAAGACTATACAGCAGTATACTTGTGCAAAGTATTTAAAGCTGTAAAAAGTATTAAGCTAGTAAGTCTAGACTTTTGGGGCCTGGAAACCTAAATCCCAAAATAATTTTAGAAATTGTTTATATTATGCTTTTTTCCTTATTCATAGTTTTGAGTGGTTTTTCATTATTCTTGTGAACTCTACGTTTTGCTTCCTCTGATTTTCTTTTTCTTCTTCTAATTTTTTGGTAACACTTCCCTGTTCAATGACTCTCTTCCAGCTATATCATTATTTCTTTATAGTAAGAATCCCTACATGAAGCAGAGTAAAACAGCACTGTTTGATCATGCTTAGACTAAGGGAAGAACCTTGTCTTTCAAGTAGATTCAAATTACCTATGAGTTGTTTTACAGAAATTAAAAATAGATTTTATCTGGTTTTCTTTATCTGAGACTTGAGCAATCTGACCCGCTTCCAAGGCACAATTTCTGTCCTCAGCGAATGAAGAGACATAGATAAACCACCATAAACATGAAGAAATGCTCAGAGACTAGAATGTTAGTAACTCTAATGATCATACTGACTTTGGTTTCATTTTGAAGTCACCAGCAATTTTTATTTTATGGTAGTTATTTTTATAACATTGGATTTCTACCAGATTTTCTGTGTAGAAAAGAATCTGTTTGAGAAATATTTGATATGTGATTTGATCTTACTAAGCCTGCTCAAGTTCTCAGAAGTAATAATTTTAGAGAGCTGATATGCCCTGGCTTAATCTGTTCCTCTCATTATATCTTGCTAGTAAAATTAGAGCTAGTGCCCCTTTAAGTAGTTTTCTCTCTTGTTAAAAAACAAACAGTAGCAACAAAAAAAAAGACTTAAAGATTCTTATTTTTACTGCTAACATAATATAATTTTAAATTTTGTTTTCTCCCCTCTTAGAGAATTTCTCTGCTCCCCCTGACGTCACTACAACTACCTCTTCATCATCATCTTCCTCAATACGCCCAGCAAATATTGATCTACCCCCATCGGGGATAGTTAAAGGCATGCACAAAGGATCCAACAGGTCCAGCCTTATGGATACAGCTGATGGTAGGCAGCTGTTTGGTAGTTAAATATGGCATATTAGTTAAACTGAAAAAATTCAAGTTATAAACAGCAGTGTCTAATGTGCAGCAGTGGCAGGACTTGTGACCTACTCACACTTTGAACAAAAAGTATGGAAAAAGGAAAGAATGCTAGGAGAGAAAAGGGAGGTTAGATGGAATCTTTAAACAGTATTAATAATAGCACCATATTTTTACTCTTGTCATAAAAATTATCCTGTATGTATTTGTACCTGTTTAGCCCAGCTGAAATAGAATGAGACTGTGAACAAAGGCCAAACATCATTAAAAATGAAAGCTCCTAAGAGAATTGAGGAACTGAAATATTCCTAAAATCAGTTAATTTTAACTTACCATTTTTTTCCCTATTAGGTGTTCCTGTCAGTAGCAGAGTATCCACAAAAATCCAGCAGCTTCTCAACACTCTGAAACGACCCAAAAGGCCTCCCTTAAAAGAATTTTTTGTGGATGATTCTGAAGAAATTGTGGAAGGTAGTGGTAATAATACCAAACCACGTATATTCCTTAGAAATTTTGTAAACAGTTACTGCATGTAGATATTATAGGAGTCATGGATGGATAAGGCATCGTTTTTGGTTGAAGAGTTCATAGCTTTCTGATCTTCTTTCCCTTACGATTATTTATATTTTAAATCTCAGATGAAAAATAGAGGGAGAGGAGGGAAAGACAAGAAGATAGCTATGGAACATAGAATTATCCTTGGAAATAAGTTTTTTAAAATTAGGAACAAGCACATAATTTTAAAAATTATTTATATTTGTCATATCTTAGAAGTATCAAATTCATTCTCAAAAGTTTGCCCCTTTTTTTAAAAATATATAACCCAATCATTTTTGTTAAATCAATCAATCAGTACATATGTAGATCTGTTTTAACATGGTGGATGGTGGAAAAAGTTCATAAAAATATAGTCACTTCCTTCCCGTTGTTTCCAATTTAGACAAAACATACACTACAGTTGAAAAGTGAGTTTAGTCAATAAGTATGTATCAACTGGTACTGGCAGCTTGGAGAAAGGAAGAAATCAGTCTCATCTGTATGGTTGGGGAAAGCTCCCTAGAGAAAGTGATAAGAGTGATTTATTCATTCAATAATTTAAAAAATATTTAGGGATAAAGTGAATCTAGAATTTAATAGAAGGATTGGGAAGGGACTATGTGGGGGCATAGAAAGTAGCCATTTGATAGTAATAGTTAGTAAAGGTGGGTGATGAATAGATCTATCTAAAAACAACCTTTGTCTGAAGAACTGAGCCTCGGTAGCTTTGCAGTCCATTTTTATGTCCTGAGACTAAGAACAGGCTTTGATTGCATCAGACCTTAACGGAACTTAGCCTGTTAGTAGACTCAACCCAGTCTTAACCCATTTCGTGCAGCAGAAAGAACCAAGCAACATAATGTATGAGCTTAAGATGAATTTCTCTTTCTTTTAGAGTCACTAAACTCACTGAACTATGGTCATCTTTCTTGATGAACTGAATTTTCAAGTGTCTGTGTCAGTAATAGCCTCTTGTCTTTTTAGTACTGTGTGTTCAGAAGGCAAATGAAAGTCAAAGTCTAACAGGAATCATACTTGAGCAACATTTATTGGCCGAATAGAGCTAACAGCTTCCCACTAATGTTAAATAGGCAATGATTTTTCATTTGAATGACAATTATCTTTGGAAGAGAAAAATACCTGTATGTCTTTGGAAGTCTGAAAGAGTATGCCCCAGGGTCTGCAGTGAGGCCTAATGGATGGCAATAATGTATGGACTTTTATGACCATATGCTTACCATATATACAGTTTGTCTGTAAGAACAAAACTATTTATTTAGAATCACCCATGTTTATTTTTATAGTTAGGTGGTTTAGGGTCTGGGAATATGCAAACATTATTTACCTAGGGTGGTGAGTTGGAAAGTGAAACCGTTAATTTTGTATCAGTAGAAAAATGAGTGAAGACATTTTAAGTTTTCCCCAGTCTGTCATTAAATTGAGCTTTAACATGTATTTCATTTCATCTTTCATTTGCACTTCTAATACTTGCTGCTCTTTCCGTCCATTCTCTCTTCTGTGCTCCTTCTCTCATCTCCTGTTCACCTGGCTAATCCCCACTCGTCCTTTAAGACTCAGCCCAGGCATTCGTTACCTCCTCCAGGTGGGCGCCCTCATCCCTAAGCTAGGAGGCATGGTCCTCTTCTGTCCTTTCTCTTCATATCTCTGTCATGCACTGGCCATGTGTACTTTGCTCTGTGTACAAGTGGCTTCCCCACTGCACGCTGGATGCTCCTAGAGGGCATGGCTCTGTACTACTTGTACCTGACATTATTAGAAGCAATAAATGTTTGTTCAAAGAATGATACGTGCAGCATTTATCTTCTCAATGTTTATCATGTCTTACATACAGAGTTGACATTCAGTGAGCACTTGACCTTTTGTTCCATATGTAAATTATCCTTCCTGCTATGAAAATACAGGATTTTTTTTAAAGTTCAAGCAATACTTGTTTATTGTAAAAAAATTAAGAGGACTTTAATTTTGTCTCTGTGAAAAAGCGTGAAATATTATTCACCTCTAGTTTCTGGAATTTACCCTATTATAAATCTACTACTTAAAAAAAATTTTTTTTTTGGCCACACTACACGGGATATTATTTCTCCCACCAGGGATCGAATCTGGGGCGCCGGCAGTGAAAGCGCTGAGTCCTAACCACTGGACCACCAGGGAATTGCCTAGTGCTTTTCTTTTTTCTCCCCCAAGTTCCATTCAATTTAGTTAAGGCGATTAAGCAACCATTACATATTAGGCACTAAAGGCAATAAGAAGAATAAGAACCATGTCTTTTCCTTAAAGAACTCTCAGTCTAAGAGGGAGAAAACCCTCTAGAGTAATAGAAGCTCTTAAGTATCCTCAGTGCTTTGTTAAGAGTGCACTCACGTGAAGTGTGGAAGCACTAAGGAAGGAATGGCCGGGCGGCTTCCCAGGGAAGGTATATCCTAAGAAGGATGAGTGTACATTCACCAAGAGGCAAAGGGTTGGCCATATGAGATGTGCGCAGAGGTGTAGAGACATGGAAGGAACATTGTTGTTCATGCCCCTTATCTTTCCTGATTCCAGTAGGTCCCTATTGTATACCTGTTATTATATTTGCATTTTACAGATGAGGAAAAAGGAGGCTCAGGTAACTCCTTTTGCCCAAGGTCACACTAGTAAAAAGTGAATGTAAACTTGGGTTTCCTGACTTACAGTTCCATGGTTTTTCATTAAACGTAACCTGGTGAGGTAGATAGAACCTGGCTATCTAACATTAAACACAAACTAAAGATTTTAAAACAAGTTTACTAAAAATAAAACAACCACCAAAAAAAATAAATAAATTTACTAAAAACTGTAAAAGTGCTAAATGCAAATTTATGTTTTGTGCTTCTTTGTATGTTTGGAGATTTGCTTTGTCAGGGTCAAGATTTGTTGCATAAAATGTATTAAATATGGTTTTATAGTTATGTGGGAAAATGAATTAATGGCGCAGTTTGTGGATTACTATTTCTAACAATGTCCTCTCTTTTCTCAGAGTGAGTTAAGCCAGAAAAAAGGAAAGGGAAGTTATTTTGAGATTAGAGACCTCAGTTATGTTAGCTGGTATTTGTACTTACTTCAGATCATATGTTCATATAACCTGTTGGGGTGTTTTTTTGGTATAGTACCTCAGCCAGACCCTAACCAACCCAAGCCTGAGGGACGGCAGATGACCCCTGTGAAGGGAGAACCGCTGGGAGTCATCTGTAACTGGCCCCCTGCTCTGGAGTCTGCCCTGCAGCGCTGGGGCACTACTCAGGCAAAATGCCCCTGTCTGACCGCACTGGACGTAACGGGGAAGCCAGTTTACACTCTTACTTATGGTGAGTTTATATGAGTCCAGCTTCCTTTTCTCCTAATAGCTCTTCAGATTATCATGGGTAATGTTTTCATCTTGCTATCTAGTGGTTACTGGTCACTGTATTTCAGTAGATCTTTTAAACTATTTCAGTGGGATCCGAAGCTCCTAAGTATAGCTATTGCCAGATATTTTCTTTTGCTAAAGTGACTATTGCAAGCAGCTGTTACTTAAAAGAAGAAAGAGACTTTGTAGATCCACTGATGTTTAAGTACCAGGGGAGGATTTTAGGAAGACATTTGGGCAGGATTAATGGTGTATGGTAAAAATCAGAGTTTTATCTAAAGATTGAAATTGATTACTTTTCACATCTTTGTCATTTACTTCATCCTGCCACTTGCACATAATAGGCACAGGCTTCTATAGTGATCAGAGTATCAGTACTTTTCCATTTAGTTTTGTTTTATAAATTTTATTACGTTTTCTCTTAAATAACAAGAAGAATGGATTCAACCTGGACTGTGCAATTTTGTACTAGTTTATTCAGACAGATTCCTCTTTCCCTTCTAAAGTGGTGTACATTGTCCACAGACCTCCATATAGACTATTTTAGAGAAGAAAAATGGTTTTATTTAAAGAATTGTACAGATTGACATGAGTTTTCCCCTTTGATGCCCCTCTGAATGAGTTGTGTATAAAACTAACATGCCTGTGCAAAGTAAAATGATTTTTCTTTCAGTTTCTTCATAATCTAAAGTAAGAATTTCTAAGGTGTTTGGGAAAAGGAGCAAGAAAAGGGGAAGAATAGACTTTCCTCCCTAAAGTTGTTTTTAGCATTCATCTCAGGAGCTGTACATTAATCTCATCCATATACCCTTCAAAAAAGCAGTGAGATTTTTACATGTTTATTTAACATCTGTGAATATATCTGCATGTTTCACATAATTTCCATTTTTATTGTCTGTTTTCACTGAAATATAGTGGTATGGAATACTCAGTCATTTGAGTTATACTTCTGCTTTGCAGTTATTCAAGTATTCAATACCATATATGTAAGTGGTTCTTCAGAAAAGGCTTAAAAAGAAGTGGTCTGATTTTCAGTCTTGTGATAAAAAATTGTTTCCTTCCTTTTAAGTGTGATCAGCTCGTGTCAAATTATTTCTAAAGATAGATTACATCAGAGAAGAATATGAAATATTGTCTAGAGTGAGCTTTTGGTGGTTTCCTTTTTGCTTGCAGGCAGGACTGGCTTTCCTAAACTAGAGTGAATGTAAAGCAGTTTTTTGGGGGAAGGCCTCTCTGTGTGTGGAGGGTGATGCTTGTCTAATGTATCATTTGCCAGTGACAGATATCTTATTCATTGTGCTGGTGAACTGAATGCCTTCTTATTAAAGTAGACCTGTGTTTTTCTACACAATTCTTTTCTTTTTCCAGGAAAGTTGTGGAGCAGAAGTTTAAAGTTGGCCTATACACTGCTTAATAAACTGGGGACCAAAAATGAACCTGTATTAAAACCTGGAGATAGGGTAATTGTCTTTTTTGTTTTTGTTTTTGTTTTAGGGAGGTGATGTTTTTTTGTTTTCTAGCATGCACATTCTGGATTTTTTTTTAATGTTCAACAGCACAATTTATAAAACTTATTATTCTTAGAAATTGAAAATCATTTGGTTCCAACCCGGGTTATAATTCTTGAATGTATAGTTTGAAAAATAGTCACATGTCTCTTTCTGTGTAGCTTCTAATCGGTATACTGTTTTAAGGTACTAGTGAAAATAAAGAGAAACCTAAATCTTTCTGTAAATGAATATTTCAATATTTGGACAACAAAAGTAGTAATCAAGGTTACTCTTTGATATTTTTCTTTGAAAAATGCCCCATAAAACTTCAGAAAACAAGTTTTCTTGTTTTATGTAGACAGGGAATGAAAATTATGTTACTTCTAAGGAGGAGCAAATTTACATAATTACTTTTTCTTTAATGAAGATGACATTATATTTTATTTAATGTTTAGAGGTTTTTTGCACTTTCTAAATAAAAGTATTTCCAGTCATCAAACATTACTTTTCATTTGGAGTTATAGAATAAAACACCCAATGCATACACAACAGAATTCTTCTTAGTAGACTCATGATTACAGAATCTCCTAAACTAACCTTTTAAAAATTCTGCGTCATGGCAAAGGGCAGCTAAAGTAGACTTTTACTTATAAGTGTGACATGTGAGCATTTGATAATCTTCACTGAACCCTAAGAAGGTAATTTTGTGTCTTCCTAACGACATGGATGGCTTGTGTGCAGAAAGGAAATGGGTTGTTTAAATGTCTTTTGGAGTTAGTATTTTTTTTTAGAACTCTGGAAGGTTCACAGTTAAACTTATCTTGGGAGTAAGTTAAGAGAATTTGAAAGTGAGAGATGGGAAAACAGGGGCCCAGTGTTATAATTAAGTTTCAGATGTTAATCTGTGAGTATCCAAACCAAGCAACAGGCTCTGCAATGATCATGACTTCTGTGTTTTTGCATCTCTTGAGGCAATTAGGGAGAGTCAGTTGACCCTGTGATGCATTACACATGAGATCAAAGGGCTGAACACCTTATGGAGGTTTCACTGTTTACCTTTTTTAAGTGAATTAACTTTATATTCATAAAGGTTCCTACCAGTGATGCTTAAACTCCCAAATGCCTTCTTGCTAGAACACTTGCATTGTTGGTTAAATTAGTAAGGATTTAATGCAGTGAATTTGTTAAAAAGTATTTGGGAATTCCCTGGTGGCTCAGATGATAAAGAATCTGCCTGCAATATGAGAGACCCAGGTTTGATTCCTGGGTCGGGAAGATCCTCTGGAGAAGGGAATGGCTACCTACTCCAGTATCATTGCCTGGAGAATTCCATGGACAGAGGAGCCTGGCAGGCTGCAGTCCATATGGTCTCCAAGAGTCAGACACGACTGAGTGACCAAAAAAAAAAGAAAGAAACCTTAGGTTTGCCTTAAGGTTGTAATTGAGTCCTTTCATTCTTGTAGGTTCATCTCTGAGAGAAATAAGACTTACTCTTTAATATGCTCGTCTCTCTAGAGAGATTCATCACATTTATTTTATTGCTTTAGCCCTGCACTAAATTACCTTAGGTTTTGTAAGTAATTAACTTACTACCTAAGGTGAGTTGTTTATTGCTAAATCACCAATAGCATTAAGTGAAAAATTCTTATGGTGATGATGATAAATTACAGTATAGTCTCTAAATTGTGCCTTGTATAATTGTGACAATGACAGAGATCCTTTTAGATTTGTGCATCCTTCTCAATAACTTAATTTTCTTTAGGCTATTAAATAGTTTGACTTATTGTCTTCATGATAAATGTCATATATAAATGTACTACTTAAAGATATTGAAAGCATTAGTCTGCTTTGTTATTGAATGTCATTATGCCTTTTAGGTAGCCCTGGTTTACCCCAACAATGATCCAGTCATGTTTATGGTGGCTTTCTATGGGTGTCTCCTGGCAGAAGTGATTCCAGTGCCGATAGAGGTACCTCTTACCAGAAAGGTAACACTGCTTAATTTAAGAGGAATGTAGCCTGATGTAACATGGTGGGCATCAAGGTTCTTGGATCAGTTGACTCAGTTACAACACTTAAAGGGGCTTCCCTGGTTGCTCAGACAGTCAAGAATCTGCCTGCAATACAGGAGACCTGGGTTGGGAAGATTCCGTGGAGGAGGGCATGGCAACCTACCCCAGAATTCTTGCCCTGAAAATCCCATGGACAGAGGAGCATGGTGGGCTACAGTCCATGGGGTCCCAAAGAGTCGGACACGACTGCATGTCTTAAGCACACACCACAGAACACTTAAAAACAGTCTGATCATTTTCCTAAGTACTTAACTTCACTTTCTAAAAACAGGGAAGTTGTAGAAAACTTATTTATGAATATTTTCAGGTTTCATGAAAATAACCTGTTTTCAACTAAGATAGAATTTTTATAGTATTATATAGTATTATATTATAATATATATATAGTATGTATATTATATATATAATATATAGTATTATATGTATATTATATATATATAATATATTATATAGTATTATATGTATATACCACTTAAAAATTATGGGGACATACTTGACTTTTCAACAACTTTTATAAGAGTCCCACCTTTGCTTCAGAGACTGTAAGTAATCCACATTTATAGTAGGTGTAATCTTTCTATAAGAGCATTTTCCTTAACATCTAAGATTTCTATTAAGTCCAAGTGTGATGCAGTGATGTTGTTACTACTCTGGGTTATAGAATTTACTTTGGCAACACATCAGCCTTACTAAAATGAAGCATATGTAGCAAATGTCAAAGTTTAACCAAGTGATTTCTCCATGAGCTGTTTGACTCTGATTTTCTCATGCAGTTTATTATTGAGAGTTGATGATGAAGACAAATATGGTGGAAACTGTAGATTTACAAGAAAAGAATTTTTTTTCTGAAAGGAATAAAAAACAAAATGAGTAGCATCCCTGAAACTCTGGTTGATAGAAGGAAGTATCTTTAGTTTGGTCAGGAAATCATAGGGTTGTTCTTAAATTATTAAGTTGGCAGTGTTTATGTGGTTTCATAATGATACTTTTAAGATGACATTTTAATGGAAATGCTTTAGGCTTTATCTTTTGGTTTTATTTCTCTGCTGCTGTTGTAAGGCTTAAATCTACCTCCTTTAAAATAGAATAATAAGAAGTATATGAACTTGAGTATAATTGTCCATTTACTTTCATTGTAAATGTGGACATTTGGTGTCCATTTACATTGTTTATTTTGTTCTGACCTGAATTGCTTTCCTTTTGGATTTGGGGTTATGGCTAGGTCAGGACAACTTAACCATGTTCACTTTTATTTCATTTCCTGAGATTAATTTAGAAAAGGAGCATTGCTGACCTTTGAGTAAAATGGCCACGTTTGGCTGGTGGAATTCATCGCTAGCAGTGTCAGATTAATAAAACATGGTTTGCACTCAGGAAATCATTGTGCTGCAGCAGTTATTTGGAAGAACATATTGTCACTGGATTTTGACAGTTGCCAGATATCAGGGGGATTTCATGAATGTATTGCACAAGTGCCAGAGCATTACTAAGTGTCAGATTTTGGGCTTGGGTATGCTCACGTTCGCTCCCCTACCATGTTCATTATCTTTTCTCCACAGGATGCTGGGGGGCAGCAGATTGGCTTCTTGCTAGGAAGCTGTGGTATTGCCTTAGCTCTTACCAGTGAGGTTTGTCTAAAAGGATTGCCAAAAACTCAGAATGGAGAAATCGTACAATTTAAAGGTTGGTAATATTTGCACCTGAATTATCAGTTAAAAACTAATGCTGAGTGCTTTAATTAGTGTTTTAATTTAATAGTAGCTAAGTATTTAACATATTTTCTTATTTAATTCTCACAGTCTTATGAAGTAGGTACCATTATTATCCCCATTTTACAGGTGAGGAAACTGAGACACAGAGAGGTTAAGTAACTTGCCCAAAGTCACAGCTAATATGTGGCAGAGCAGCGATTTGAACCCAAATCTGTCTGATTCCACAGCCCACACTCTTAACCTTTATGCTGATGGTTGGAAAAGCTACTACTCTGTTCACTAAAACTAAATGCTACATGTAGAGACAGAGGATAGACCACTAACCTCAGTGGACTTCCACTGCCAAATGGACCTCCCAGTTGTTGAGGTAATGTCAAGGCCTGGTGTTAGCATGTGGAACAATTGTGCTTTTGAAAGAAGGTATAAATGTCTGGTGATTTATCACTACACACTAAATGAGGTATTTTCTTGGTTATAAAATGATCTTGATTTGATCTCTTGATATTTAAAATGACCAATTCATTGTGAATTCCTTTTCTGATGGCTTAGGCAATTCAATTTTTATTTTGGGTTTGGTTTAGGTTGGCCCCGGCTCAAATGGGTTGTAACAGATTCCAAGTACCTTTCAAAGCCACCTAAGGACTGGCAGCCCCTCATCTCACCTGCTGGCACAGAGCCAGCATACATTGAGGTAAGTCCCAAGTCTGGGACATACATTCTGGCTTTTCCTTTGGCTTTGGTTGAGGTCCCATAAAATTTAAAACTAATTTTTTGCAGTTTTAATATTAGTAGGTCCCCTTGGTTTGTTAGTTTGCCATCTTTTGCCCCATAAGATGCTTTCCAATGGCCCTTCTGTCCCAATTATTTTGAGCATAACTACCTATTCAAGAGAAAGACAACAAAGAAATTGACCCTTGTCATGTAAGAAAGTGACAGAAGACTTGGAGAAGTTCAGAGGTTTAAGAAATGATTTATTGGCATAGGTATTTCTCTGCTGCTTTGCCGATGGGAGTGGTAGGGGTGAGGGGGGAAGTGAGAGACTGAAGAAATGAGGAGGGAAAATAGCTGTGCTTGAAAAGAACAAATGTAACAGATGAAGAGCAAGAAGAAGCAGAATGCTGGAGCGTTTGGTATTGAAGGTTCTTGTGGTTGCGTGATTGATTGATGACATAATCCAGTTGAGGGATTAAGTCCTACTGCATACTAGGCACCAGGCCAAGTGCTTTAAATGCAGTATCTCAGTCAGTCCTCACAAGTACCCTGTGAGCTGTGGGGGGGTGGGGGGCTGTCAGTAAACCTGCTTAGTAGCTAAGAAGACTAAGACTTAAACTAACTTGAGTCACCAACCAAACATTTGTCTAAAACCTTTGACTCAAAAATGACAGAGCTGGAACTCAAATTCCCATCTGTTGCACTCTAAAAGCTGTGCCCTCGAGTACTCTGCATCTTGCTTGAGACAATGTTAGTAAATGTTCAACAACTGTTTGCTAAGTTAATGAATAAACATCCATAAATTATAAATAAAAAAAAAGATTTTGGGAAAAAATCCCCCCAACCTTGAGCCCTGGCTTCCTTGGTAGCTCAGTTGGTAAAGAATCCACCTGCAATGTAGGAGACCTCGGTTTGATCCTGGGTTGGAAAGATCCCCTGGAGAAGAGATAGGCTACCCACTCCAGTATTCTTGGGCTTCCCTTGTTGCTCAGCTGGTAAAGAATCCACCGCAGTGTGGGAGACCTGGGTTTGATCCCTGGGTTGGAAAGGTCCCCAGAGAAGGGAAAGGCTACCCTTCCGGTATTCTGGCCTGGAGAATTCAGTGGACTCTATAGTCCTATAGTCCATGGGGTAACAAAGAGTCAGACACGATTGAATGACTTTTGCATAAAAGGGAAGAGAGGGACTTCCCTGACGGTCCAGTGGTTAAGACTCTGTGCTTCCAGTGTAAGGGCAGGTTTGATCCCTGGTCAAGGTACTAAGATCCCATATGGAATGCAGTGTAGCCAAGAAAATTTAAGAAAAGGAAAGAGAGTGAGCACTAACTTTAAGAGGTAACGTAGTGATGTTGGATGGAAGAAGGATTGCTTTCAAAGATGAAAGGGATTTGAGTATGTTTAAATGACAAACAAGTAAACAGCAATTAAAATACTCAATCTAAGCTGTCAGCTCTCAATCCATATCATTTCACTAATGACATGGTTCATCCCTTTATCCTCCTTAAAACTGTTCAGTGGCTTCCCTGACTACTCACTGACCACTCCTTCTCAGACTGCTTTATTGGTTCTTCCTAAAAGGTGAAGGGCCCTTTGTTATGTGGCCGCTGCATAGCTCTCTGAGCATGTAGAACTACTGTCCTGTACATTTCCAGGCTTCTGCTATTCTGAATGAACTTGCAGTTTTCATTGGAACCCTCTTATTACCCACAGGACATTGCTAGTGAGTTTCAAGTGTCCTGTGGGTAATAGGAAGCTCTCAAAGTGTTGTCAGCAGAAGAGTGGTAAGAATAAATATGTGGTTAAAAGATGTATCTGTTTGGTGGGGTTAAGATAGGAAATGAGCTTTGACAGTTATCCAGGTGAACCCAAGTTCGTGGAGATGGGGATGGAGAAAAGCAGATGGATGGAACTGAGATGCAGCAAGGAAATAGAAGGGGCAGGACTTGGTGACTGACTCTGGAGAGGGAGGAGGCAAGAAATACACGCAGGTTTCCGACTTGGGCAACTGGAGATTTGATGGCATCCTTCACTAAGATAGAAAGTACAGCCAGAGGGACTTCCTTGCTGGTCTGGTGGCTAAGATTCCACTGTCCCATTGCGTGCTACAACTAAGAGTTTGCATGCCACAACTAGAGATTCCACATGTCACAACAAAGATCAAAGATCCTGTGTGCCGCAACTGATACCGGTGCAGCCTAATAAATAAAATAATTTTTTTTTAAAAGTGATGGCAAGAAAAGTTTTCATGGGTGAGGGGTGGAGGGGTGGTGTTGGTTACTTTGGGTTTCACGGGACTATGGGTCAGTCACAGTGAAGAGTTGACCCTCTGAGTCTGAATCTCTGGAAAGAGGTCTGAGCTGGAGATGGAGAATTGAGAGTCATCAGGAGTGTGGTTGGAGAAGGAAATGGCAACCCACTCCAGTACTCTTGCCTAGAAAATCCCATGGACGGAGGAGCCTGGTAGGCTACAGTCCCTGGGGTCGCGAAGAGTCAGACACGACTGAAGCGACTTAGCAGCAGCAGCAGCAGGAGTGTGGTACCCTGATGGATAGACGTGAAAAGAGGACTTCCCTGGTGATACAGTGGAGGAGAGTCTGCTTGCCAGTGCAGGGAACCTGGGTTTAATCCCTGGTCTGGAAAGATTCCACATGCTGTGGAACATCTAAACCCATGTGCCACAAGTACTGAGCCTGTGCGCTAAAGCCCAAAGCTGCAACTGCTGAGCCCACGTGCCACAGCTCCTGAGGCTGTGTGCTGCCACTGCGGAAGCCTCTGCACCTCCGGCCTGTGCTCTGCAACAGGAGAAGCCGCTGTGATGAGAAGCCCGCACACTGCAACTAGAGAGTAACTCGCGCTCTCTGCAACTAGAGAAAGCCGGTGCACAGCAACAAAGAGCCAGTGCAACCAAAAATATATAAATTTTTTTTTTAAGTGAAAAAAGAGGAGGAACAACAGGACTTTAGGGAATGCCAGCATTCAAAGGATGAGCAGAGAAAGTGGAGGGAAGGGAGAGAGAGAATATTGAATAGGAAAGAGGAGTATCACAAAAACCGAGAAAGGAGAAAGTGTCAAGAAAGGTGTCAGAAAAGACAGAAAGGTCTGATACAGTGAAGTGTGCAATATGTGCTTTTGATTTAACAATAAAATAAAAAGTGACTGATCTTGGTAAAAAGCAGCTTGAGGAGGTATCGAGCAGCTTCGAGGTAAAAGCGAAGTTACTGCTGATGGGTCTGGAGGCGTGAATAGGCCGTTTCCCAGTCTCCCCTCCGCACCAGGAGCTGCTGATGGACTTCCGCACCTTTGGCTCTGCTTGCTGTGTATTTGATGCTGTGCTTCTGTTAATGCAGCCCGGGTCACTGTTTGTTTCAGCTTCTTTAGCAGCCAGCTCACACTGATGACTAATTAAACTTTGAAGAATTTTTCACACTTACTTCTGTTGTGCTTTGTCATTCCCTAGTCCTGTCTGTGTGGGATTGAAGTTTGGGGCCCAGTTGCATAGCCTCAGATATTTATATGAAGTGTTAAATTCAGCCCATTGTCATGGTTTTTCTGGGTTTCATTTATGGATTCTAGTTTTGTCATTTGAAATAACCCGTTTTATTGTTTCTTGTGTTTTTGTTTTCTGTGGTTTTTTCTCCTAGTATAAAACAAGCAAAGAAGGGAGTGTAATGGGAGTTACAGTGTCCCGCCTTGCAATGCTGTCTCACTGCCAAGCTCTGTCCCAGGCCTGCAATTATTCTGAAGGTCAGACTTCACCCCGTGACTGCCTGCACTGTGAGCTCAGATCTCTGTGACTGTGAGCCCTCTGCCCAGCGACTGGACTCCAGTTAATGACCGCATTCAGAGGGAAATGTTCTAAGACACATTCTTGGCTCGCTTTTGCTTTCTTCTTTTTCACAAATACGCTGTAATTTAAAGGATCGAAAATTCTGGGCAAACCAAATATGTAAAGCATGATTTCTAGAGTGCAAAAATAGAGAGCTAATTAAATCCATGTGTTTATTGGCTGTGGAATGTCAGGTACCTTCATCTCCCCATACATATAGAGCTGTCACCAGCTGTATGTTTGGAGTTAGAATCAAAGAAATTCTGCTACCAAAAAGCACAGATTAAAACACAAAATGTATTCTGGATTGTTGGATTTTAGATGTGTTGATAGATATTGCATAACGATGATCTCCCTTAGAATGTTCTTCACAATATTAATTCTTTTAGTGTTTTATTTTTCTTTCATAGAATGAAACAAGTTAATACATGCTCCTTATGGCAGCATTATACAGCCACATTCTTGTTTGGTTAAAAAATATATATATGTAATAAAATCAATCAAAATATCAAAAGGAGTTGATTGAATTATCATATATTCATATACGGGGTTTTAATCTGAGGTTTCAAAACTCAGGTTCTTAAAAGATTGTTTCAGTATATCATTAAGTGGAAACAAATCAGATACAGAGCAGTATATGCCAATTTTGTTGTCAGATATCTATCTATATACAAGTGTATAAGCTTAGAAGCGTATGTGCATGTATGTAGATATGATATATAGATTTATACATATACCACCGTTTTTTATTTTCTCTAAGAAGTATAATTTTCTACATATGCTTGTGAAACTTCTGAAACAAACATGTGATACTTACATAATTAGGAAAAAATCATTATCTCAAAGACTGTGCCTAAGTCAAGGAATTCCAAATTCATTGTATCATCTGTGACCACGTCACCCTATGATCACTTCCCCAGCCAGTTTGAGGGGACCCCTATGTGAACAGAAGACCCTGAGAGCTTTTAGTGGTTTTTTTAAAGTACCAAGTCAGTTGTTAAATAGAGGCAAGTGACAGAATTTTTTGCTACTTAAACTAAAGATGATTTCCTTATGTTTTTTTCCTGTTACAGGAGAAACAGTAGTAAATGTTCTAGACTTTAAGAAAGATGCTGGGCTGTGGCATGGCATGTTTGCGGTAAGCTACACAGAATCAAGAGCTTTATTGTACTTATGATTCAGATCATTGTGTGTACTATGTAACCACAGCATCTCACGGTATTTGTATGAAATTTAAGCTGCCAAAAGATCAGTAGTATTTTCCAAGGAAATTTAATTTTGTGATATAAATGGTAATTTTTTTTTAAAGGAGAATGTAATTCTGTTTTTTCTCCATTGTGTGACTATGTGTTTTTCAAAGAACTCTGTTTGAGTTAACCTCTTCTCTTTTCTGAAGTCAGATTACCTAACTTTCTATTGGACAGAATGCTTGAATGAGTCCATGCTGCAATGAAAGAATATTGTAAACAAGATAGGTCAGGCTACTTTCCACAGTAGAGGAATGGTACCATACTAAGGGAGTTAGAAAAAGGTGACTTCCTCCCAGCTCTGGCCTCAATTTTTATGAAAGAGGTAACAGTTGAATTGGACTGAGAAATGAGTAAGATAGAGTCATACAGAGATTTTTGGGAGGGTGAAAATGGGGGGAGGGGTGCATTTCAAGTGGGAAAAGTTTCTTATGGAACATTCTGATTAGGAGGGAGGAGAGCAGAGATACAGGACCCTTAGGACCTTTGAGAGTATCTTGTTCAACTTCCTCACACATTGCAGGAGACTGAGAAAGAGTAGGAAATGAAGCCCAGGGAAAAAGAGTGTTTCCCTTTTCTCCCAGGATCCCTCAGATTAGTAAAAGCCTTATTCCTTGAGCCATACATGCCTTCTGGCTCTTCTCTGAAGTCCTTCTCATTCCCATTTTTTTTTTAAAATCAAAACTTAAGAAACCCTTGTGAGGAGTTAGAGAGAATCTTCTCTCTGTGATACCCAGAGCAAGATAGAGACATGTGTGAAGAATTAGTTATAAACACCATTCTTCCCCTGAAATCCAAGTTTGTCACCATAGCTAGAAACTTGGGGGAGGGAGGAAAAAGAGGTTTGCAGTGGTATTTTGGTATCTTTGGACCACTTAAGTGGTGCACAAAATGGCCAGTCTAAGTAGCAAGATTTAGTTACTCTTGTCAGGCTGGATCTCTTTGGGGACGGGAGTCCTGGATGTGTTCGGCAGGAGAGACATCAAATTGCATGACCCTCTCAGGTTGTTCAGTTTTATCTACCCAAACACCTAACAGGTCTGGGCAGGATCTCCTGTAAATGACAGGTAGACTTTGATATCTTGCTTTGGAAGACCCAGCCCTTTGTGGTATGTAATATGTGCTTATGCTTGCATAAGCATGTTGAAGGAAGGCACTTAGAGGGTTGGAGGGCAGTTTAAAAAGCACACATCCCCTCCAACTAATAAAAATAAATGGGAAAAAAAAATAAATTTTTTTTAAAAAGTACACATCCTGTGACTCAGTGGTACAACTTTTCTGTACCTACCCTAGAGAAACACTTGCCCATGTGCTAGGGAAATGAGTATAAATATATTCCTTGAAACGTTGTTTGTGATTGCAAAAAGTTTGTCAACAATAGGGAGATACCTAAATAAATTTGGTGTGGTCATACTATGAAATACTATGCAGTGGGTAAAAAAAAATAGATCTCTTACACTGATATAGATATATTTCATATGTTTCGGGCTTCCATAGTGGCTTAGACGGTGAAGAATCTGCTTGCAATGCAGGAGACCCAGATTTGATCCCTGGGTTGGGAAGACCCCTTGGAGAAGGAAATGACAACCCACTCCAGTATTCTTGCCTAGAAAATCCCATGGACGGAGGAGCCTGACAGGCTACAGTCCATGGGGTCACAGAGTCAGACACGACTGAGCAAATAACACTTACACAAATATACATAGATTTAGCTCTAACACAATTTAAGTGAAAAAAGGCAAGTGGCAGATACATGTATAGTATGATGCCTTTCATGTTAAAAGTACTTTTATATTTCTGTGGGGAAGAATATACATATACATACCTGTAAAAAGGAATGGAAGGATCCATGGCAGATTCTTCACAGTGATTGTCTTTGAGGAGAGGAGGGAATCAGGTTTGAGAATAGGTAGCAAAGGAGGCTTCAACCTTATAGTTAATATTTTAGATTTTTTTTTAAAGAGCATTTTAAAAAAAATTAAAAAATTTTTTTTAATTAAAAAAATTTTAAAAATTTAAAAAAATAAAGAGCATTAGTGTTTGAATATTATATGGTTAAAATTGTTAACAGAGTATCAATTCAGTTTTAAAATGCTAAGTGTGTATTAGATATTGATTACTTTTTATCTTTCTTTGCCTTTCAGAATGTAATGAATAAGATGCATACAATTAGTGTACCCTACTCTGTTATGAAGACTTGCCCTCTCTCTTGGGTCCAAAGAGTACATGCTCACAAAGGTAGTTACACATAACATCTAAGCTTTAATTATGTGACTGTTTGACATTTCAGGGCTTTTCAAGTTGGTCTTCTAGAGACATACTTCTATGCCTTGGTACCTTAACAGATTTTAGAATTTGGTTACTATAAGATTAGATACGTTGTCTAATTCATCTCAGTTGGTGTCCTTTCTGAAGAACTGAGATGACTGTGTGTGAATCTGGGCCCGAATTAGATTTATTGGATGCTCTGGTGCTCGATCCTTCCTTGGCTTGGATACGAGGCCTATCTGTAGGTCTCTGTGAGCAAGGTAGTCATGTGTCCATCGGTCACTGCCGCCTCAGAGTACCTGGCACCATTTCTTTGAGACCTTTCTTATTTTCTTTTAAGTGAAATTCATGATTCCTAAAATAAATGAAAATGTTTTTTACTGTAGCATATTAATGTCTACCAAATTTAGCATATGTGTATTAACTTTACCCCTTTTGCATTTATAGCCAAGGTGGCTTTAGTGAAATGCCGAGACTTGCACTGGGCTATGATGGCTCATCGGGACCAAAGAGATGTGAGCTTGAGTTCCCTCCGAATGTTAATTGTGACGGATGGAGCTAATCCCTGTGAGTATTTCTGGAGTGTCAGTCTGGGAATATCTTTTCCTTTGGTAGGTTGAGGTTTTCGTCCCCTTTCCATAAGCAGTTTTTTTGTTCTTAAACATCTGTATTGAGAGAGAATTCACATATCATAAAATTTACCCATTTATTTAAAAAAAAAAACTCACCCATTTAAAATACAATTCAGTGGTTTTAGCATGTTCATAGAGTTATAACACTATCACTACTGACCTGAATTTAGAACATCATCATCCCCAAAAGAAACCCTATACCCATTTGTTGTCATTTCCCATTTCCCATCCTCTGTCCCTTAGCCCCAGGCAACTGCTAATCTACTCCTTGTCTCTATAAATTTACCTATTCTGGACATTTCACATAGATGTAGTCATGCTAAATGTAGTTTTTTCTGACCAATTCCTTTCACTTAGCATATTTTCAAGGTCCCTACATGTTGTAGCCTATGTCTGGACTTTATTCCTTTTATATTGCCATATAATATTCCTTTGCATAGAGATATTACATTTCATGTAGTCATTCATCATTTGATGGATCTATAAGCTTTTAAAAGTGCTCTGTGCTCATTCACTTAGATCCTTTCTCTGTCATGTAATTGAAAAGAGCAATGAGGAGATAATTTATTATAACCAGGTGTCTGGACTTTATGTAAATTCCCTGTCAGCAAATCAGAAGAGTTTGCAGAAGCTTTAGAGACCTTACTGTGTTGCCTGCTTTTCCCAGCAAGCACAGACACCCTGAGCCTCCATAGGGTAGAATCAGGTAGCACATCAGACACTACTGTGTTCTTTGTCACCAGTGAACTTTTGTCAGCAGTCACAATGATCATCCTGGTATAAAACACAAACCTGGGACCGACATTAATAAGAAACGAGTCAGCGGGTACATGAAAAGGATGGAGCTAAGCCAGAATATTAGTGATGCACTGGCTACAATGCAGTAGTGGCTTCAGGGAGATGTGCTTGCTTCCAAACCAGCTGCCTGTTGCCTGCAGTACACCTCTGCTATTGATTGGGCAGTTAGTAGGAGCAGCCATATTCCATGCTGTAACTTTAAATGGTGTCAGTGACCTTTCATGGGCTGGACAAAGCATTTGTTTGTCCTTGAAACCTGTCAACCACCTCAGAGACACAGTAAAATACTTGCACGGAATTAATGGCTTGCCAGGTGGCTCAGTGGTAAAGAATCTGCCTGCCAATGCAGAAGACGCAGGAAATGTAGTTTCGATCCCTGGGTCAGGAAGATCCCCTGGAGAAGTGAATGGCAACCCACTCCAGTATTCTTGCCTGGAAAAAAATCTCATGGACAGAGGGTCCTGGTGGGCTACAATCCATGTAGGTCACAGAGTTGGGCATGACTGAGCATACACTCACACAAATGATGTACAAATGTGTCAGCTTTCTGTTCTTTACCAGTTTCCTGCAGTAATGAAAATCACACTTTCAAGCTTTCAAGTTGATCTGTTTCAACTCCTCAGGGTCTGTGTCATCCTGTGATGCCTTCCTGAGTCTGTTCCAAAGCCATGGTCTGAAACCTGAGGCCATCTGTCCATGTGCTACTTCTGCCGAAGCCATGACTGTTGCAATCCGCAGGTATCGTTCAGAATGTTGGTGCTCTTGATAGATGTTACAGCTCTGATCAAATGTGCAGAATTGACCGGGTGGTGACAAAGGGGTGAGGTCTAATTTTCTGCTTCATAAGCCTGAAAATGAAAATGACTTTGTAAAGCAGTTTGAAGCAACTCATTTATTATTCCTACTATTGCCCTAAGTGTAACTAGGAAACTGAAATTTTATTTCAGCTGTTCTCATCTTGTGTTTGTGAAATAGCTCTTTTTCTCTCTTCAGAATCCTTAGTATCTTAGACAAGAAATGTACTTGATTGTTGCTTACGTGTGGATACTACCTGTACATGTAGTACACTCAGGCCAATATATTCTTTTATTAAACAATTTATTTATTTATTATTTGGCGGCAGAAGGTCTCAGTTGTGGCAAGTGGAATCTAGTTCCCTGACCAAGGACTGAACCTATGCCCCCTGCATTGGGAGCATGAATTCTTAATCACTAGACCACTAGGGAAGTCCTCAAGCCAGTATATTCTTAACAACCAACTAAAATTTACTTTTTCCCACCGTGCTTTGCAAGTGTGAATTTGATTCATTTGGCAGATTTTTGGTAGAGAAAATGAGGGTTTTTGTTTGTGTGGTAGCCAGAGGAAATTTTTCTTTCCTCCATATTCATACTTTTCTCTTAATAGCTTTTAATTTGACAAATTTGATAAGTTTATTTTGTCTTCAGACCTGGAGTTCCAGGGGCCCCTTTGCCAGGAAGAGCCATTCTCTCCATGAATGGATTGAGCTATGGGGTGATACGGGTCAACACTGAAGATAAAAATTCAGCACTGACCGTTCAGGATGTGGGCCATGTGATGCCTGGGGGTGAGTTCTCAGGAGCGCCATTTGCTTTTCATAAGATGTGTCTTTAGAGAGAGTGGAGGCTGATGAAATGCGATCCAAAACCAGGAATCCAAAATTTAGTACTTAGACTCTTTGTAAGAGTCTTACCTTCCAGCAGAATTGGGTGCTTTAATTGTGAATGTTTCAGTTACAGTTGTTCACATGGATATTTAAATGTTTGAGTGATACTAAAGTGGTCTGGTTTTCACTATAGTTACCAAGATGTTGGGCTGACAGAAAATTAGAGTACTTTGCTTCCTGTGTGTTTTTGAGTTTGATCTGTGTAAGGGTAAATTAATTTAACCCGTTTCTTCAGACTTTGCAGTCATTTTTAATGTCAGTCTTTAAAAGCTTCAGTCTGCATCTATTATATGTTTTGTTTGCTGAATTAAAAAAATTACCTTCAGGACCAAAAGATGGAAATGTCAGGTATACCTATACAGTGTCGGTCTCTTTCTAGCATTCCTATTTGGTATGCTAGCTTAATACTGCTCAATAAATGGGAAACTTTCCTGGGTTCATTATGATGAGGCTGTTTTTCTGAAGGTTTTCCAGGCTGTCCCTTGACTGTTTTCTGTACCCTAGGGATGATGTGCATTGTGAAGCCTGATGGACCTCCTCAACTCTGCAAAACAGATGAAATTGGAGAAATCTGTGTCAGCTCCAGGACAGGAGGCATGATGTACTTTGGGCTTGCTGGGGTGACCAAAAACACATTTGAGGTACTTGACGTTCAAGTTTCATGGGGAAAATGTTGGGTCAGCTGTGGCAGCTGAGTGTTGGTGTCGCTGTGGCAGCTGAGCTGGCTGGTGGGAAATACACTGTGCAGCAGTTGGGAGTGTGTGCTCCATAGCTGGGGTGCTCAGGGTCCAGTCCTGACAGCCACGGCCTAGCCGACCCGGGGTGAACTGCTTAACCTCTCTGTGCCCAGTTTCCTTTTCTTTAAAATGTGAGTAATCATAGTATCTGCCGTGAGAACCAACTGAGTTAATGTTTATAGAGTGCTTAGACCAGCACCTGGCACACAGAAAGTGTTCTTGTCTATCTCTTAAAAAGTAAGAGTCCTCACGGAAACTCACCCTGGTCACTGTCCCATGGTTTGGGCTTTATAGCCCCCCAAATTAATTAATTAATTAGTTTTGGCCACTCTGGGTCTTCATTGCAGCACACGTGCTTTCTCTAGTTGCAGTGCTCGGGCTTCTCATAGTGGTGGCTTCTCTTGTTGCAGAGCATGGGCTCTAGGGTGCATGGGCTCAGCGGTTGCAACTCACGGGCTTAGAATGGTGTGTAGAATCTTCCCGAACAAGGGATCAAACTCATGTCCCCTTCATTGGCAGGCGGATTCTTAACCACTGGACTACCAGGAAAGTCTTATAAGCCCCAAGGTTTTATTCTGAGAGTGCAGTGAGAATGGATTCATCTTTCAAGAGTAGACTCAGGATAGCCAAGCTTGTAAAGATTGATGTATTAAAGCAAATATGCTCCAATAAAAATTAATTACAAAAAAATAGATGGATGTAAACTGGAATGCCAGCTTCCTAATGAAAAATGAAAACCTGGTCTGTCACAGGGGAAGATTGCCCTGGTTATTCAGTCTTTCAGTGAGAGAAATATTTATTGAGTGCCTTCTGTGTGTCTGGCACTATTTTCCATGCTTGTGGTACATCAGGAAAACCCAAAACTCCTCAAATAGCTCATTTTTCAGTGAAACTAGCACATCATTTTCCTGCAGGCAGTTCTGCTTGTGAAGCCAAATTGTAATGAAAGTCTGCCTGGTGAGCCTGGAAATCAGAGCAGGCATGATTAATTGTCTGTATTTCCTAACTGGGATTAACCTGCCTCAGGCTCCCTTTTAGGGAGCAGAGAACTCCAGTTTGTGGGCCTTGTTCCCTTCACATTAAACAGGGCTTATATGGCCACTGCCAGTTTTCAGTTCTTTTAGCTTCCCTTTTGGGCTTCCCTGGTGACCCAGATGGTAAAGAGTCCGCCTGCAATGCAGGAGACTCAGGTTCGATCCCTGGGTCAGGAAGATCCTCTGGAGAAGGGAATGGCAACCCACTCCAATATTCTTGCCTGGAGAATTCCATGGACAGAAGAGCCTGGCAGGGTACTGTCCATGGGGTTGCAAAGAGTCGGACACGACTGAGTGACTAACACTTTCACTTTTCTGTTAATCCAGACAAGTGGTCCTTAGTCTCAGTATGGTATGGCACATCTGTGCCTTCCCATATAAAAATCAGCACATGTAATTATGTAATAAGAGGTGTAAATGGCAGGAGAATGTTATCTTTATGTGTGGTGTGGTGACTGAAAAAGGTTCTATCATCCATGTTTACACAGCCTAAAATGATATGATAGAAATTATTAAATAAATATTTGTAAATTATTTTTAAATAATTTATTACTAAATTAAATTTAATACCATCTTTTATTACCGTCATCATCGTCATCACTACTACATTCTTGGCCTACCTTCAAAAGTTGTGACCACAGCAACAACAGAAAAAGAAAACAAAGCAAAAAACAAGTTGTGACCAATTCATAGACTCTTAAAGCACATGCTCACTGCCATTCTTGGTTTATTTTCACAGGTGACTATCTTTGCTAAGGGTATATACATTTTACGAATTCCAGTCTCACCTTATTTCTGTTTCAAGTGCTTGGACTACATATGTTTCCATCTGAGTTTTTCTTCATTGCACTTTCCTTATATAAATAAGATTCTCAAGCAGTGTTTGAAGTTACTAATAATATTTTAATACATTCCCCTATGATGGCAAGTGCCTACCCAAAATTTTCAGATTTATTACTTAGCTTCTAGGCCCATAGTGATGAAGAAATTTTTAAATCTGCAGTAGGAATTTAATGACAGTGAAGTGGAATAAAAATTGTAACCAAAAAAGAAGAAAACTATTGATTTTTGCAGATTAAAATTTTTCTAATATTTTTCTTACTGGATTTTTACATTTAAACCCTATGAGAATTTTCCAGTGTGGTTAATACTTCACTGGAAAAAAATCTAAAAATGGCTGGTTAGAAGATAAAAGTGAATTTTAAAAATAAACTACTGGTAGGGAATTCCCTGGTGGTCCAGTGGTTAGGACACCTCCCTTTCACTGTGGAGAGCTGGGTTCAATTCATAGTCAGGGAACTCTTAAGATCTCCCAAGCTACGTGGTGTGGCCAAGGAAAAAAAAAGCTTTGGTGAGAAAAACTTTGTAACACATATGAATACAAAGAACTAATTTTACATTGTCATCACTTACTAATTGATATGAGGCAAATGAAACTCTCCATGCCTCACTTTCTCATCTGCAAAATGAAAATATTCTGTCTCACAGGGTTTTCTTGATTATTTCTAAAATATTTACACCTGTGCCTGGCACATGATAAGCATTTAATAAATGTTAGGTCTTATTACAGTTATTCCCTGTATAAAAAAAAGAAATCTTAAAAATTAAAGGGAAAAATCCAGTCAAATAGAAAAAGTAGACAGGAGACCTGACTAGGCTATTCACTAAAGAAATACAAATGGCTGATAAGCAAAGGAAAAGAAATTCATCTGTGTTAGTAATAAAGAAATGCAGTTAAAATAACAGTGGGATTTCTCTTTTTTGCCTTCCAGATTGGCAAAGTTTGGAAAAATTGTTAACATATATTAACCAAAGTACAGGGAAAGCATTCTAATATGATATTGGTAGAGTGTAAATTACTATAATAATTTTGTAGGACAGCCTGTTAAAATTGAAAAGACTGATCCCTTTTGAACAAATGCACACAAATACGTACAGCAGTAATCAATAAAGCACTGTTAGTAACAGTGAAAAATTAGAATGACCTACCTGGCCAGAAAGACTGGTTACATTCTCATAGTCCTAATTCTGATGGTTTCTTGAGTAGACTCTGGGCCAGGCATTGTGCTTATGTCTGCAAATCTGTTTACATTCCCTTGATCTTTACCCTAAGCTTGTGAGAGGCATTGGGAGTTCCATTTTATAGCCAAAGAAACTGAGGTTTAGAGAAATGTAGGAACCTCCTCAAGACCCACATTACTAGTAAATGGCAAAGCCAGATAATGAATTTTTATCTGACTCCACATGCTATGTTATGTCATCACCAATGTGATGGTATATTATAGAATTTCTTGTACAAAGGGAGATAGATTGACTATTACCAACTTGAAAAGGGATCCAAAATACATACACTATGTAAAACATAATATGTGAAAAAAGCAAGTTACAAGAGTGATTCCTTTTTAAAAATCTCAATATGTTAATCTGTGAATCTTAAAAAGTCTAAAGAGATAAGCAACAAATTATAAATGTTTGTTATCTCTTAAGGGGGTGGGATTCCTGGGTTCACTATGTATATAATTTTAGTTTTCAACAAGCATGTATTACTGTTTAAAATTTTTTTTAAGACATTTAAAAAATTAAATGCATGTTTTTTTTTTTAAGATAACATTTTCACTTTCTTCTGCCTTTTAGGTGATTCCAGTGAATTCTGCCGGCTCTCCTGTTGGAGATGTACCATTCATCCGGTCGGGATTGCTGGGCTTTGTGGGGCCAGTAAGTGATGCTTTCATGTTTGTTTTGGTGCATCTGATCCAAATATTTGTGCTTTAGTTCATAGAACAAATTCTAATTAGTCCAAGAGTATTCCAGGGTCACTTAACTTATATTTAGAGCATTTCTGTAAAAGTGTCATAAAATGAGTAATGTTTATTGCTTCCATTACCCAAATTCATTTTATTCCTTCAAACCAAAACATTATTTTTTACTTTCAAAACTCTTTTCACTTACTCTTGTTACATTGCTTTGATTTGATTAATATATTTAAGTAAGTCAGAAGAGTGCTGAAAAAGTTCCCTTCCACAGCAAATGGAAACCATAATAGTGTACACATCATTTTCATATAGATTGTCAGTACTGCCTCAGGTGTAACAGAAAATTCTTTGAAAGAAAATAATTTGTTTTTCAGCAAATAGAATTTACAGGTCCTGGGTTTACAGAGACAATTAGGATACAAAACCTGTTCTCAAAGAGCTTACTGTTAGCTTCATGAGCTGGTGAGAAAGGCAGAAAGCCAGAGCATGGAGGGCGTTATATAAAATAATGCAAAGTTTGGATTTTATTTTGAGCCAACGTATCTCCCCCCATCTCTTAATTACCTCCATATGCTCTTTTTCTCATTTTAACAGTTCAAGTTATATAAGAAAAGATCTAATTTTATTTTATTTCCTCCCTACCATTAATAGGTGGATGGTGGGGGTGAGGACATACCTCTAAGAGAATCACTCTCCCAGAAAGAGACATCTACACCTACTGTCTTGACTTATTCACTTAGCACCAAGAAATTCTCAAAAGCCGAGCTCCTTTTAGCTTCTATTCCACTACTGAGGTCTAAGATGGAGCTCCAGCCATCACATCTGCATTGCGTAAAACAGGACAGTCCTACTATCTCTTAAGAGAGATTCCCTGAAGCTGCTGAGCAACACTTCTCCTTATATCTCATTGTTCTGAACTAGGCACCTGGCCAAACCGAGCTGCAAAGGAGGCTGAAATGCAGTCTTTATTTATTTATTTATTTTAATAGTCCCCTCCCCCTCTCTGCAGTCTTTATTTAGATTAGCCATGCCCAGCTAGAAATCGTATTGCTATGAAAGAAATGGAGAAACAGATGTTGGGAGACTAGCAGTGACTGTTTTACTCTCTTTATTTACGTCCACTTTCAGATTGCAGTGGCAATGGCTGATTCTCTTTTGTCTTCTGGGATGACAGAAGGATGGACCAGTAGCTTCTTGAGACTAGAGATTATGTCTTATATAACCTCATCAGTGTGTGGCACTACATTGTACTTAGTGAATCAATGAGTGACATTCAAGTGGAAATGATTACTAGATAATTCAGTATATTTAAATGGTCCAAAAATTTAGGAATTCTGTAATGAATGAGAAAAGTTAGTTTATTGCAAACGTGTCTGGGGAAATGATTGATAAAATTTTTATGAAATAATAAATAATAGAATTATTTATACAAATGATGCTTTTAGGACATTGACAGCAGACTTCCTGCAGCTCAGTTATTTTATTGGAAAGGAGAGGCTCTTACAATTCCTTAGACCTTTCTTTATTAACTTATTTCTAATCTTACCAGATGGAAACATTACCCTTATAAATCGAGACATTCATTCTCACATTAAAACTGTTTTACTCTCTCCCTAATTCCAGTGTTAAATGGCTTAACAGTTTTCTCCTCTGCATCGATTCCATGAATAAGTACAAGATGATGAACTAATAACATAATCCCTGACTGGAAAAATGAACTGTGATCATTTGGCATCCTAGTTTCTTTTAGAATTCCTAGCAGTCCAGTGGTTAAGGCTCTGCACTTCCACTGCAAGAGGCATGGGTTTGATCCTTGGTCAAGGAACTAAGATTCCACATGCCACTCTGTGTGGCCAAAAGTAAAGTAAAATTCCTCCCTAAGAAAGAATATGAATGGATTGTTATCTTATGTACTATTAAGACTCCATTAATTAAAAGATGCTACTGATTCTGAGATGTCAAACACTTTCTTAGAATCCATAAAATATGGTATTTTATTGCAAGATTTATTTCACGGCAGGGAGTAAAACATCTGTTTTACTATTTAAATTTTATAAATCTCTGTTACCTTTCAGGGCAGCTTGGTGTTCGTGGTTGGGAAAATGGACGGGTTACTGATGGTTAGTGGTCGAAGACATAATGCTGACGACATTGTTGCTACTGGACTGGCTGTTGAGTCAATAAAGACTGTTTATAGAGGAAGGTGAGTAGTACAAGGTTCAGATGTTAGCACTTCCGGTGAAATCTAAAAATCTCTATAGTGTGAGTTATATTCTGTAAATCCTCTAGATTAGATTGTTTTTTATTAAGTGTAATAGAAACCAGGCTTTATTTATCTTAGAATGTCAGGTTCTTTGGCTGTAATTGAGAGGAATAAGATAACCATATTCTAGTTTTTAATTTTGATTTCACTATTTGATTATTACTGTTTGTTGAGGACAGGAGAATTCTGAAACATTGAGCTTCCTACATTCCTTCAATACAGAAGTCACCCCATTCAGTCTAATTGACATAGGTGCTACTCCATAGGAGTTTTACATCTAAGCGTTTATTCTCTTACTTGACTTCAAATTCTTACACCATTTTAATGCAGAGATTTATATCGTACGTAAGTGCTAGTTTCAAATTCCATGGATGAAATCAATTAGCCTTTTTTCTTTGATTATATAATAATGCAAGAAAAGATATTTGAGTAATTGATATCCTATGCAGTAGTTTTCAGTCATGGATATATGTCTAAAGCAGTCTTGATGTCCCTTAGATTTTGAAGGAGTAAGAAAAATTGATCAAACCAGTGGAGAACCAGTTCCTGAAATGTGTAGTTTTTTGTAATGGAGTAGCTTCCTGTGAGATTCTGTCTTTGGTCACAGTCACATCACCAGCACTCAGCACGCAGCACATGCAGTCGGTGTTCATTAAATATGTGTGGGTGAAAGGAAAGAAGGAAGGGAGGTGGTCAGGCATGCCGGCATCCTCAACCCTCCTATGCCTTCCCATTATTTCACATATTCATTCAACAAGTGTATATTGGTTGCCAACTGCATGCCACTTAGATGCTTGGGGTGTGACAGTGAACAACACAGACCATGTCTCTGCCCTTGGGAAGCTCACATTCTCGTTGGGGGAAGAGCAGGTTAAGATAACCACATAGGGAAATAGATATCACGACCACGTAAGCTGGTGATGGGGACAAAAATGACACATGGGGTGGGGGTTCCTGCTGGTTATATGGGGGGAAGGTGGTGTCCTGGGATGCTTCACTAGCAGGGGGACGTTTGAGCGGAGACCTCACTCAGAGCACCCCCTTCCCTGGCCCGCCAGGTCCTCTGTGACCGTCCGGGCAGGTCTGACCTCTCCCCACCACTCTCTGCTTCACCACCCTGCTCCAGGCACACTGGCCTTCTTGCTGTTCCTCAAACCTGCCAAGCTCGTTCCTACCTCAGAACCTTTTCGCTTTCCGTTCCTTCTGCCCGGAAACCTCTTCCTCCAGATCTCGGCGTGGCTCGCGTCCTCACCTCATTCAGGTCTCTGCTCCAATGTCCGCTCCTCAGGGAGGCGCTGCCCACCTCCACACACTGCTCCGCCCCTGCCCTGCCTCGGTCCCCCAGTGTATAGCACGACATGACATTATTTCATATTTATTTGTTTGTTCTGTCTCCAACACGCAAGCTCCACCAAGACAGGGACTTTGTCTTATTTATCGCTCCGTCCCAACATTCACAACAGTGGTGCTTAGTACATGTTTTTTACGTCCTCGTTTCGATGGTAATGATTGTGATGTTTTCTTTTCGAAACTACTCATTCCTGGGCCGTGCAATGAGCATGTCTCCTCTCTGTATTTCCAATTGAGCAAAGCAAATAGGACTGGTTGTGAAGGGAGTCCTGATGTGTTTGATCTGTCTCTCTTAGAATTGCTGTGTTTTCTGTGTCTGTATTTTATGATGAGCGCATCGTGGTGGTTGCAGAACAAAGACCCGACGCTTCCGAGGAAGATAGTTTCCAGTGGATGAGCCGTGTGCTACAGGTAAGCACACCTGGGGTCTCTGTTGGGATGGTTGGCTTTGCTGTCAAAGGCGGCAGCAGCCACTGCTGAAGCATTTTCTTCAGTGGATGAGTTATGTTGCCACCTTCTTTTCCTGCCAGTAACTACTCATATATTCCGGGTAATGTTAGCAAAATCAGATCATTAATAGCATGCCTCCTTATGGACCACAAAATATTTTTCTGCTCAGGTTGCCAAAAACAATTGAATTTGACTTGCCTCAGCAAGTTCTTTTGCTCTTTTGTGCCTGAGTGTTTTCTACCCACAAACATTTTAACTGTCCAAATGTGGAACACATGCTTGACATAATTAGTTCCCGTGCCAGCAGCCACAGTCTTACTACTTGCTTCAAGTGGTGCCTGATACGAGCTGTTGTTCTTACTTTGAAGGAGCTTTACTGTGGCGTTAGAGACCTAGGTGAAATAAACCACTAGGGAAGGAGGACTATTTGGGCTCAATAGAAAAGATGTGTTTCTAGGGATCAGGCTAGAATGATGCAGAGAGCCTGGTGTTCATTTAGAATCATTCTTTGAATCCCAGCTCTACTCCCTACCACATAAATACCTTTAGACCACATGCTTCACCTCACTTTCTTTCCTAATCTGTAAAGTGGGGACAAAATTATCTGTATTTCAGAGCTATTGGAAGGTTAATGGATATGGTAATTAGATAATGAAATATTTAGTGCCTGCATTCAGTCAGAGATGATGGTGATTATCGTTAACATAAAAAGAGTCATCATAAGCAAAATCTCTAGTAAAGAGTTTAGAGAATATTTGTTGGATGAATGGATGGTCCAGAGGAAGCATGGACTGTCCTTCTCATGCAATTTATATGTATTGGGGTTGTTCCCAGTGTCTGTAACTTGTCTGCTTGGGGCATTTGGATTTATTTACTGCCAGCTAGTAGTAAAGTTGTAGAAATGATGTAAGCATGAGATGAGTGATAGCACTAGACAACTTGTAAGATTCATCTGTCTGCAGGATCTGTGATTCTGAATTGTCAGCTGGTAGAGCATAGGCTGTTTGTAGTAGAAAATCATAGAAAGGAAAGAGAATCTACTGAAGAGAGACTAGATAGAAAAAGCGGGGAAGAAAGTAGGACTGGGTGGTTTCTGAAAGATGATTAACAATCAGACTTGCTTAAAAAAAAAAAAATCAGACTTGCTAAGAGAATTTTTTTCATACTGTTCATATTTTCAAACACACTACTTGTTTCATTCAGAAAGAATTTTGGGGAATAGTGGTAGACTCTGGTGGTGAATTATGCATTTTTTTCCTTAGATAGGAAGCAAATTTCCCAGCTTGTTATTTTCCCCTGAAAGCAACTGTAAGAATCAAATGCAGTGCTATCTCACTAATCCAAGTTTTTGTTAAAGTCATTTTGGGCTTGATTAAGGTGTGAAATAAGAGGTCATTATCTTAGTTGTAACTTCTCAGCTTGGGGCTCTTGGATCCATAGAAGAACAATAAGAATACCATATGTTTTGTAGGTTAGAGCCCAAAGACTGTTTAGTTCCAGGTCTGTGTATGATATAAATTAACTCAGCACCTTCTAAGGAAGGTGGTCAGTAAATGACTTACCAGGTGGTGTATTTTTTTGTTTTTGTTTTCTTGGCCATGCAGCTTGTGGGATCTTAGTTCCCCAACCAGGGATTGATCTTGTGCTCCCTCCCGTGAAACCAGAGTCCCAACCATGGACCACCAGGGAAGTCCCCAGGTGGTGTATTTGCAGTGGAAAATCCAGGCCACACATGATACATTTTTGTATTCTAAGATACCAGAAACTTAGGAACTCTTCCAGACTTCCCATTTCCTAGTTATCGCTGTTGGTTAGTGGGACAGTCTGAGGAATATGCAATTTAAGTTTATTCCTTTGCCGTCTTAAGCCTTCTTAATAAAAGGGCTTAATCCATCTTTTATGGCTCTTGGTCCGTTCTTCTTCTCAGGTTGGATCTCCTCTGCACTAAGACTTGTGGGTAATACAAAAGAATCCTCTCAGGACTTCCCTGGTGGTTTAGTGGTTAAGACACTATGCTTCCACTGTTGGGGGGTGGTTCAGGGGTGGGGTTGGGGTTCAGTTCCTGTTCTGGGGATTAATATCCTACATGCTGCATGGTGATGCCAAAAAAAGAAATAATTAAAAAAGAACCCTCTCACCTAGTATGTTTGAAACTGGTATTGATAGTTGATCAGTTAGTTTTCAAAGGTGACTGAAGCAGAAAATTGTAAGAATGAGAAATTCTTCAGCTGTTAAATTTTAACACAAAATACACATTCAGTGTATACTCCGCGTTCATTCAGTGTGGAGGCATGTGCGTCTGAGTACACCAATTTGAGTTCCAGGTCAGCTTACTTCCACAAACTACATCCAAATGCATTGTCTTTAGTTTCTGGTTTCATTCAAGTTAGACTAGAGCTTGAGTATTTGAAAAGAAACTAAAATATATAATACTTGCCTTTTAGAATGAACTTGCCCATTCCTATGAGTATCAATAGTAGTTTGTTAGGAGCTCACCTCTAATAAGTCTTTCAAAAGCATAGCTCTTCGTGTTGTTTTGCATTCATATTTTATCATTTGATATGGTAGTTAATTAAATTATATGAACGGCAGTACCAAGAACAGCAGGTGTGACAGGTGTAGAAGCAGGCCCGGCTGATGCTCAGTGAGCGCACGGCTGTGTGGTTGGGGGCAGGGGTGCACCCCTGCACCCTGGGAGCTGGCGGCCTCCAAGACTCCGTGTGCAGTGGCCTCACCTAGATGTTTTGCAGATGGGATGCCTGCTAACCTGGGGTTCTATTGTGGTCATAATAGAAATACTTTGCCCCTATTTAATGAGCTGTGTTGGACATCAAAAATATTAAAAGAACCAAAATAAATTTGTAGGTTTTATACATTATCACTCAAGAGAGAACATGTTGAGGCTTGGAAATCAGTATCCACCTCCATCCATTTAGATTGTATTTCACTCCACTGCCATCACTGGAAGGATGAGGACCTTTAGATGTATGGGATCCTAATAATCTATCAGATCCTAGACCTAGAATCGAGAGAAAAAGAAAAACCGTAGAGTAGAATAATGGATTGTGTTAGGAGGACGCCAAATGTTATAAAATTAACCTAACTGAATATTTTTCTTTGTATTTTTCTAGGCAATCGATAGCATTCATCAGGTGGGGGTTTATTGTCTTGCTCTGGTGCCTGCCAATACACTGCCCAAAACTCCACTGGGAGGGATCCACATATCTCAGACAAAACAGCTCTTTCTGGAGGGATCGCTACATCCTTGCAATATCCTCATGTGCCCACATACGTGCGTGACCAATTTGCCAAAACCACGGCAAAAGCAACCAGGTAATATGCTGACTTTGAAGACATGATATGAAAATTGTAACTTCAAGAAGCTGAATTCTTTCAATGTGATTTTTTCTCTAGAGTTAAACTTTAAAAAGATTAGTAAGTAACATGAGAATAGTATCAGCTGACCAAAAGCATGGAGGATTGAGATTTTTGTAAACTGGCTTGTCCAGGTTTACTGTTGGCTCAGTCTTCTGAGTAATTCTCAGTAAAGTGCCACCATTTTCCATGATGTAAGGCATGGGGTCAAGGTGATCAGATTCCCACCAGTGGAGGTAGAACAAAGCAAGTCCTGTAAAGCAAGGTTCTGATAATAAGACAGCTTGTATTTATGGAGTGTTTACTAAAAGCTAAATACTAGCTAACTTTTACATTTTATAATGTGATCCTAAAGCTTTGTCCTCAGCTATGGAAAGTAAAGTTCAGAGAAGTTGAGAATTATGTCAAAAGTCATATAGCTGGTTAGACCTGGGGGGCTCACCGAGGAGACTAAAGGCAGGAGTAACTGATGGATGGTCAGTCATGTTAAAATATCTGTTCAATCCAACATGAAGCCAGAAAGCTTTATTGATGCTTTTTCATTTTAAATGAGAAGTTAACAAGAGCTTCTAGTTTCTTGTATGCCTGGAAACACATGAGAGCCAAAATCTGGTCTTGACAGTTCCCACTGTTAACACACACACACTTGGATACACACTCACACACACATTCAGAAACACACCATGTATATCAGCATGTGTACAAACATATTAAGAAGAGGACATAAAAGTGGAGGATTAGGAAGACAAAGGGAAGTATGAAATTAATTATATTTCCATTAAGACTGCTTTTGCTGAAAAGTAAATATGTACAATAATAAAATAAAAGGTAAGCTTCTGACTCTCTAGAATATTTTTATTAGGATATTAGTAGTTATTACTTCAGTGGTCTGGCCGTTGAAGATTGTATCACAGTTGGTTGTCTAGAAGTTATTGTTGGCTCACCAAGTAACCTTACCTTAGTAAAAGTGTGCATAGAGCTAAAGTATATATAGTATTTATTAGTTTCTGCTAGTGGAAATAAGAGTTTATGGAAGTTAATATTCTAAAGAAGCAGTTAGAATCAAGAAGCCTGTACATTACTAATCAAGAAATATATAAAAAGATGTATTTTCATATTTCCTGTCTCAGTATCTGATAGATTTGGAAAACATAGAAGTCCTTCTCCATCATATATTCTGTCATCCTGAAGTCCTACATTCATTTGTCATTTGAGTGAAATCCCATTTTAAATAGCATTTAATCTAGAATTTAACAAAACTTTTATGTCAGTAGATGCTTAAAAGATGTAACTCAGAGACATAATATTAATAGATGTTTAAATCATTGCTTTTGCTAGCCAGATTTCACCTAATTTTACTAAATGATGAAACCTAAATGAAAGGTTTATTCATAAGCCCCCATAGGCATAGCATCCACCTGTCTGATGAAGGCGTTATGTTTGGATTCTGTGTTTTTGCTGTCTGTCGTGATGGTCTGCTAAGATCTTAGTGAAACACGTATGGGTCAGACCAAAGTGGCTTGAAAATTGAGACATACATGGAGCAGACATGATATGGAGATGGCGTGAGAGGTTGGAGTTTTAAGAATACAGGAGTGTGGAGATGGATGAGAGTAAAGTAAGAAAGGAAAGGGGAAGAGGAAGATCAAAACGTGTTAAGGCAGCCCAGTGACAGAAATTTCATTGAAATTCCTGTTAAGCTATTTATTGTATAAAGAATGGGGAGTGTTAGGACTGGTTTTGGCTGCAGGTTTCAGAAGAGCATAACAGCTGCTTAAACAAGAGAAAAGTTTGTCTTTCTCAGGTAAAAGAAATCCAGAGTTAGGCAGTCTAGGGCTAGGATAATAGATCCTCAGTCAGCTTCCCGTCTTGTGCTGGCGTTGTTCTCAGTTAACTACTGTCATAGATAGGCTGCATGACAAATAACCCGAAAACTCAGTGGTTTAAAGTAAGAACCATTTAGTTTTCACTCATGGAATGTGGATCTGCTGACCCTGACTGGGCTCAGCTGGCCTTGGCTTGGCTCCAGACTGTAAGTTGGGTTCAGAACTGTTCCATGTGTCTCCTCTTTAGGCAACCAACAGCTAGCTGGGCCGTATTTTCCTCAAGGCAGATGGCAGAAGCGAGAAGCCAAGCCAGACCATACAGGCATACTTACAGCTTCTGTTTGCTTCATGTTTCCTAACATTTTATTGTCCAAAACAAGTCAGACCATGCCCAAAGTCAGTGGAACAGAGGGGTGTATACTCTGCTCATGTAATCACAGCAAGGAAGACTTATAAGAAAACAAAACAGTCTTCTCCAGCCAGCCTTAGCATACTGCCTCAGGGTTCATTTAAGCTCCTGACCTCCAGCCATCAGTTCTGCATCCCAGGTAGCAGGTGGGAGGAAAAAACAAAGAAGGGAGTACCCTTCCCCTTTAAACATATCTTCCAGAAATTGCACTTATTACTTACCCTTACATATTATCCTCCCACACTAAAGAACATAGTCCTTCCCTGTTTCCTTTGCAGGGGGCTCAGGTGCAATCTCAGGTTAGGAAACTAAGATCCTGCATGCTGCATGGTACAGCCAAAAAATAAAGAATACAGTCTTTATTTCAGGCATTTGCTCAACTAAAAACCGGGGGCTGTAGGGAATTCCCTGATGGTCCAGTGGTTAGGACTCCTTGCTTTCACTGCTGAGACCCGGGTTCAGTCCCTGAGCAAAAAGCTAAGATCCTGCAAGCTGCACAGTGCAACCAAAAAGCCCCAAGACAAAAAGGCAGGGGTTGTGTTTTTTGTTTGTTTTTCTTTATTTAGTTGTACTGGGTCTTAGTTGTGGCACACAGGATCTTGGACCTTCATTGCAGCATGCAGGATCTTTTTTTAGTTGCAGCATGAAAACTCTTAGCTGTGGCATGTGGGGTCTAGTTCCCTGACCAGGGGTTGAACCTGGGCCCCCTTCATTGGGAGCACAGAGTCTTAGCCACTGGCCCACCAGGGAAGTCCCTGGATGTTCTGTTTTTAAGGCAGTGAGGAGAATAGAATTGGAGTTGATGACCAGCAGTCTTTGCCACTGAAAATTTACAGAATTTTGTGGGGAGAATAAGAAGGCATTGATATGAGTACATGGACTCAAGAAATATTCACAGAAGGACCTCAAGAATTTACTGCTGAATTGGTTTTGTCATTTTAAATTACTCTGAAAAATTCACTTTTTGGATGACGTCACTGCCAGGCGCCAGGAGGCACGTCGGCCGGTCCTTCGGCAGGCTTTTCGGGGACAAAGATGTCTGCGGCCAGCGATTTCTACCTCTGTTATTACGTAGGGCACAAGGGCAAGTTTGGACACGAGTTTCTGGAGTTTGAGTTTCGGCCGGACGGAAAACTTAGATATGCCAACAACAGCAATTATAAAAATGATGTCATGATCGGAAAGGAGGCTTATGTACACAAGAGTGTAATGGAAGAACTGAAGAGAATTATTGGTGACAGTGAAATTACAAAAGACAACGATGCTTGTGGCCTCCCCCTGACAGGGTTGGCCGACAGGAGCTTGAAATTGTAATTGCAGATGAACACATTTCTTTTACCACATCAAAAATAAGTTCTCTTATTGATGTCAATCAGTCAAAGGATCCTGAAGGCCTTCGAGTATTTTACTATTTGGTGCAGGACCTGAAGTGTTTAGTGTTTAGTCTTATTGGATTACATTTCAAGATTCAACCAATCTAAACTATATGTTTTTTGAAACTGGGTTTATATTTAATTAAGGGGTGGGTGAGGGAGGATTTGTTCATTTATAATATTGGGGGTTTTATGAATGTGAAGCAAACTTTTGTATGCAAATTGAAAAGACAGTATCTAAGCAGGCTTAATGGTTATCTTCACTTGAGTCCAAGTGGATTGGGCAGTCACTGCACACATTAAACTCTGTAAATAAAAGCCACCTTTTGTTGAAATTTTGCTCCAATAAAACATCAAAGCCTGATGGAGAGTGCTTTTGGTCTTTCAGGAGGCCAGATCTCTGATTCATTTTAAAGATGAAAATTGTTCTAGAAAGTGTATCCTGTGACAGAGGGTCTTTTATGTAGAAACATGTAGCCAGATTCCCATCTGTTTAAAAGCAATTGTAGATCTCCCCTGGTTTCTGCCACACCTGACGAAATTTAATTTTTTGGTGCTCATAGAAGTTGTTTATAGAAGCTTTTAGATTTTTTATGTTTGTCACAAACTCCTTAGGGGTTATTCACATTTAAATGTTTTTGTGTGAGCAGTGATTTCCTCAAGGTTACAAAGGTAAAGTCAGTATCCAGAGTTAGACACATCTTTTATTATGCGCCTATTCCCATATTTCACAATACACATATTTTGTATATCTGTGGGAAATAAATGAGTTCTCAGCTCTAAAAATTAAATAAATAAATAAATAAATAAATAAATAAATAAATAAATAACTCTGAAAAATTCACTTTTAAAAATGTCACACCTTTATTAAGTTTAGAGTGTGAGTCCAGGATTGGACAGCTTACACAGTCATATACCTATGACTGAGTCCTACCTATATAGAAAGGCTATCTTCAACAGCATATATCTGTAACTTATTAAACAGTCTCTTGGGAAAGAGTTTTGCATATTATACTTAAAATTTCAGTGGACAGATGCTTTCTAGATGAAAACTGTTCAGCAGAGTATTGGGAGTACTTTACCCTTTAAGCTGTGGTGGTTTTTTTCTTTTTTTTTTTCAAATTTAAAATTTTTCTTTAACTTTTCATTTGGGAATAATTCTACTTAAAGTTGCCAAACAGTGAAAGAGTTCCCTTATTCTCTCTACCCAACTTCCCCAAATATTTTTAAGTGTTTCTATGATTTAAGTAGTTTTTGTCCCAGCTGTTTCAGTACATTCATAATCAACATATTTTGGCAATAAACATTATTTAATATGAATCCAAGCATAAGATCAGCATTATTCAGAACTCAGCTGGGAATAAGTTTTGTTAAGTTTTAGCCATCTTCTTAGTTTGACACATTAGAATCATAGTCTTTACGTGACCATCAAGAAAGGCATACAGTGCCTTAGCGTTATTGAGAAGGGGCGAATTTTCTCCTTTTTCTCTTGAGAAAGGGAGTTTTTATTTTTTTCCCCCAAGTGTCAAGCCTATGGGAAAGTTAAAAGAATGCTGTAATGAACACCCATATACATTTCCCTAAATTCAGTAATTGTTGTTTTTCTTAAACTGAACCCTTTGAAAGTAAATTTCTGACATCATGACACTTCACCCCCACATATTTCAACAGTGTTATCTCTAGAGCAGCAGTCCCCAACCTTTTTGGCACCAGGGAAGACAATGTTTCATGGAAGACAATTTTTCCACAGACCAGGGGTGGCGGGGGAGATGGTTTGGGGATGATTCAAGTGCATTACATTTATTGTGCACTTTATTTCTATTATTATTTACATCAGCTGCACTTCAGATTATCAGGCATTAGATTCCGGAGGCTCTAGAGAACAGAAACATTCTTCTAGAATTTCCCTAATCAGCCACAATGCCATTATCCTGTTAAGAAACTTAGCATTAATATAATGCTCTCATTTAATAATACCCAGCCTATATTCATTTGTCTCCCCTTATTTATATAGCTGATTTTTTTTTTCTAACTCAGTATCCAATCAGGGTCACACATTGCTTTTGGCTTTCATGTCCTTCCTTTAACTTTTTAAAAGCTCCCAAACCTCTTTTGTCTTCAAGACACAAATATTTTTGAAGAATCCAGACCAATTGTCCTGTGCAGTGTCCCACACTCTGGATTTGTTTACTCACTTAAAGTCCTTCTGATATTCCTGATGAATTTACTCTCAGTCCTCATAGATGGCAGATTTCTTTTCAGAACAGATATTCATAACTGTTAAGCCTGCTTGTTAGGGTTTTATCTGTGATTGGAGCAGATAAAAATTCTTTATCAAAGGGAACCAATGCAACCAACCATCACCTCCTAAGAGTGAAAACTCCCCTTTTGTACTCTGTCCCTCCCTCCGCCCCTGCTAACCCCAGCTGTCTGTCCCGCAGTCCTGTTTTCTGGCACTTCCTGCCACCTGACATTATTTATGTGTGTGTGTATTTATTGGTTGCCTTTCCCGCTATAATACAAGCTGTCTTGTTTGCTCCCGTATCCCAGTTCCTAGAGGGGTGCTCAGTCAGTGAAGTTGAATGAACATTTGAATCAACTTTGGTCAGTCTGGAAATGCTTGTGGGGGGAAGGTGCAACATTGCTTGAATTCTCATCTCCAGAGACTTGATTTTTGCTCTTAACTTGCAGGTGTAGGCCCTGCCTCTGTGATGGTTGGGAATCTGGTTGCAGGAAAACGCATAGCACAAGCTGCAGGAAGGGATCTCGGGCAAATTGAAGAGAATGATTTAGTGAGGAAGGTAAGTGTTCCAGAAATGTTGACTTTTACAGACAAGTCAAGGACAGAACGTAGGCTTCAGGTAACAGATGGGAGATGCATTGTCCAGCTTTTTAAAAGTTGCTGACCCTGAGTCTTTTTTTCTGCCTTATGATTTCAGCACCAGTTTCTGGCGGAGATTTTACAGTGGCGAGCCCAGGCAACTCCTGACCATGTCCTCTTCATGTTGTTAAATGCCAAGGTATTAAACATTCAATTGCTTATCTAATTAGCTGGCTATTGTGAGAGTATCTTAGGCACCCTTGATCTCTTTTTTTCATCAGAAAATTTTGATTGCCAACTCTGAGGGGAGAGTTATTGCCTTCTCCTTGTTTTGATATATGAGGGTAAATTGTGCAGTTACTTCAAGGCTGAAATGAGACCTCCTGAAGTGTCGTTCAATACTATCTCTTTTTTTTATCACAGTCAAGTCATCTTTATTCAGATAGGAACAGTAGGGACAACCATGTAATTGCAAGATCTACAGATGTGCAGAATGCATTGTGTCAGTGTAATTTTTTACTCAGTTTGACTTTTTGTTCTTTGATTTCCACCAAAAATAAAATGACCTTAGGTCAGCATTTTAAAAACCAGAGTAATTTTTAGCACATACTTAATTGATTTTTTGCTAACCTAAAAAGCCAATTGAAAATTATTCAAGAATATATTTAACTACTGCTTTCTAATGGATGGATCACCGGAATATTATATTTTTTATGTTATGCATCTTATGGGAGTCTGTTGAGATTTGTGGGTTTTAATGGCTGAACCATTCCCTTCTCCTTGGGATCTTCCTGCCCCAGGGATCGAATCTAGGTCTCCTGCATTGCAGGCACATTCTTTACCGTCTGAGCCACGGGGAAGCCACTTTAATGGCTGAGTCAGTAGCTAAAAGTACTGTGACCTTTGCATAGAACAGTATTTCTCACCAACAGGCAGAAGACTGGAGGATCTGTTGGCATCTCTTAGGGGACTTAGCCAGATTGCCCTCTTCTGCCCCAGCCCCTTGGATTCTGATATATACACACACGCACGCGCACACACACACACACAACATTGAGAGTTTATATAGTGATAGAAGTTGAGAGGAATATGTTGTGCATCTTAATGAAGAGTCAGTTAAAATCTTAAGAACCATTGCTCTGTGGTAGAAAACTTTGGGACTTCCTTGTTCCACCTCTGCATGAAGTGAGCTTCTCTTTAAGCCCATGAATTGATTAGAGTGCTCCCATTTCAGTAAGATGATGTCAATCTAGCTTGTTGCCCAGGCCACTCACAGGCTTGGCTACAGTTAAAGTTATAGCCTGATAAAAATCATACTCCAGATATATTTGTTGGTGAACTAAAGTTTAAATTTGCTTTTTGGTTAGAGAAATAATGTATATGGATAACTAAAGGACATGAAATCCACTTATTCTTCTGTGTATTTTACTTTGAATTAGCCTGAGCCACCAGAAAGCTTAGGAACCATACAACAATGTTCCCTTATGACCAGAAAATGCTTCTTAAAGAAGTTTAGTTTGGTGCTGTACCATGGACCAAAAAGCAAGCTATTGTGATTATTCTCTGGTGGTCCAGTGGTTCAAACTCTGCACTTTCACTGCAGGGTGCCCGGGTTCAATCCCTTGTTGGGGAACTGAGATCCCACAAGCTACGCCCCACCCCCCCCAAAAGGCTATTGTCAGAAATGGCCCTAGGAATTTAACCCTGATTTTAGCCAAAGGAATATTCTTAATGTCCAGCAGTAGACAATTGACTAAATAAATTATGGCATATAAACATAATGAAATACTATGCAGTCATTAAAAAGAATGTGACAGAAGAATAGTTGATGACCCAGAAAATATTCATAATGTGGAAGTAGGAAAAGTAGAATATAAAACTTTTATAATGGAGTACTTACTGAAGACCCTGTCCTAGATACTTGCCATTTCATAGTTCATTTTAAGATTCAGGGAACGGAGGCACAGAGACATAAAATCACTTGCCTGAGTTCGAAGGGCCCAGGGCTAGGACTAGGAATTTAGCTTCTTATTTGAACCCAGACTGGCTTCAGGGTCTGCATTCTTAGCCAGTGCACTGTATAGCCTCTGGCATAATATAGTATGATATATATTTTTTGATGTTTCATGTGAATTTATATACAATATATACCTAGTTTTTAAAAACCAGGAAAATACACACCAGAATGTTAATAGTGGTTCCAGCTTATATTTACTAATCTGTATCTTCCAAATTTTCTATATTAAGTTTTTAAATAATTAAGACAGTGTGCTATTGGCACTGTATAGACAAATAATAGTTTGATTTTATCTGGTGAATTGTAAAGTAGGCATACCCAATGCCTGACCAAAACTCATACATTTGTGCACCAGTGTATATTAGAATGAATAGTCCATCAGAAGTAGAATGGATGAGTGAATTGTGGTATGTTCTGACAATTAAATGCTGTGCAGTAACAAAAGCGGATGAACTACACCGAGGTGCCACAGCCTAGATGACACTTCATAGAATGTTGAGAGAAAGAAGTAAAGCACAAAATATATATGTACAGCACAATTCTATGAAAATCAGATACTTCATAGGTGGTAAAAATAGGAAGAAAAGAAAGCCACTAACGTTAAAATGTCACGATAGTGGTCCCCTATGGATGGCATCACTGACTCGATGGACATGAGTTTGAGTAAGCTCTGGGCGTTGGCGATGGACAGGGATGCCTGGTGTGCTGCAGTCTATGGGTCGCAAAGAGTTGGACATGACGGAGCGACTGAACTGAACTGATGGAGGAAAGGGGGCTCCCAGGCGGCACAAGTGGTCAAGAATCTGCCTGCCAGTGCAAGTGACACAAGAGACACAGGTTCAATCCCTAGGTCAGGAAGATCCCCTGGAGAAGGAAAGGACAACCCACTCCAGTATTCCCTCCATGTGCTGGGGCACATGGAAGGAAGGAGAGGGCTGGTGAGGGCGTCCATGGGGTGCTTTTGAGCTGCTGGCAGTGGTCTTTTTCACATCAGGCTGGTTCTTAACCTAAACATTCAAATCTTCTGCGCTTTCCCACTTGGGTGTCATATTTTACAAAGGAACAGGGGTTCAAAAGCTCAGCTAAGTAAAACTTGAATTGACAAGAATTATTTATGAAGACCCACAGGAGAAATTATTCTCAAGACCTTTATTGTTAGCTAGCAGACTCAGATTCACTGTTACTATTTTCATTTCTGTCTCTGCTGTTAGAATATATGGATTCAGACTTGTGTTTTTCTCATAGCAAATGTATCTGACCACATAGCCAGTGTCCTGACCTCATTCCTGCCTTCATCTTGCTTTTCTTTATTTTCCTTCTACTTTTACTTCTTCACTTAAAGTTAAAAAAAAATTGCTATTTAGTTTTAAAGCTACCTTACATAAGAAAGACTGTAAATACATATGTTTGATTTGAGTTAATGTTGTTAGTCCCTCAGTACTTTCAAACACTGAGAAAGAAAAAGTAAGACCACACTCGTCTTTCGGTGCTTGGGAAAGTTTCACTGAATTTGAAAGCTTGCTAAAGACAGTCTAGCAAGGCACACACCTTTCATGTAAGGTCAAATTGGCCATATTTGCTACCGTTGTGTATCATTACTGAGCTTCAACTGTGCGTACACTGTCTTCTGCTCCAGGGGACCACAGTGTGCACAGCCAGCTGCCTTCAGCTTCACAAGCGAGCAGAGAGGATCGCGGCCGTTCTTGGTGACAAGGGACATCTAAATGCAGGAGACAATGTGGTGTTGCTCTACCCACCTGGTGAGTGCTGGCTTGGTCGACTAGACAAGCTCTGTTACTAGACTACTGACTCTAAGAGGACAGGAGCTCAGGGACACGGTGGCCACATGGGCTGTGCACGGAGGCTGCTGCCGTGCAGACAACCCCTCCCTCCAGAGTTGTATGGTGTGGGGGTTCTGGCTGGGACCGAGCCCGTAGTACTTACTCTTGTATTTCCACTGTCTAGTTCAGTATGGTAAATACTGAATGAGTGAATGGTGATTTTTTGACTTTTGAAAACACTCAAGAGAGACTGTTTTTAGAGGAGTGCTCAGGAACTATTTCACCCAGTTTCCAAAAGTATGTTGTGCATGAACTCTGACTTAACATTCTCCACATTATAATTGGTGCTTACTGTCCTGCGATTATTATTGCTTTCATCTTCCACACTCTGTAATCTAGTTCAGCAACGTCTTCACAGCAAGAGGGACTCAGTTATTTGATGACAGTTTGGTGTATTCAGAATTTTAGGCAGAATATTTCAGTTGTCCCTTTCTTTACTCTTTTGTCACCTAACGTACTCATACATCCAGACTTCTGTGGTCTTTTATCCCATTTACCTCATTTTACTCAGTGATTCTCACTTGCTCTTCTATTTATATTGATACTAAGACTTCTTAGAAGCTGTTAAGAACAACTTTGTTCTGGGAGGTTGTTTTCTGTCCACCAGTTAATCACAGTGATGGAGATGAGCACTGCCCGAGGGGGCCGCCCTCCGAATACTTATATTGCAGGGGCTTTGTATCAAGTGACGCTTTGCCTCCCTAAAACCTGCACCCATCAGGGAAGTGACATCTCAGGGGTCTGATTGTTCTTAAAACATAGTGGCCTTCTTAAGATTGAGAGAAAACTCAGATACTCCTCATCTCTCCTTTCCATTATTTATTTCCCAAGTGAAACAACCCTAATCTCTGCACTTACTTTTCCAAAATAATATCAAGTAATGATGTCAAAGTACCTTCTTCAGGTATCTTTCAAGTGTTTTCTTTACTTCTGACCTCCTTTCTCATATGTTTATTCTTGGCTTCTCTATATTTTTTAAAAAGTTGTTTATATGCTTCCTTCTTTGACCTTCAGTTTCTTCTTAATATGAAAAATTTCTAGGAATTTTCCTGGTGGTCCAGTGGTTACGATGCCACAGTTGTAAGGTAGGGGGCGTGGGTTCGATCCCTGGTCAGGGAACTAAGATCCCATATACCACACAGCCAAAAAACTTTTTCTCTAAAAAAAAAAAAAATTATTCTGATAATGTCTTCGTTAAATTTTGGTCTAGTGTCTGGCACACGATTTAATCTAGGTTTGGAAACTCTGCCTTTTGCTTTCTCAGTGACAAACCAGGCCACTAATCAGCTGTGTCTTGCAGGCATAGAGTTAATCGCTGCATTCTATGGCTGTCTGTATGCGGGGTGCATACCTGTGACTGTCAGACCCCCTCATGCTCAGAACCTCACAGCCACATTGCCCACTGTCCGCATGATTGTTGACGTAAGTACCTGGTATAACTTTCCTTGTCCTCATCTCATAAAGCCCCAAGTCAGACAACTAAGGATCCTTACCCTTTTCCAGTTTAGTTGAGTCAGAAAGTCAAATCTAACTCCTGAATGGTACCTCCTTTTCCTTCATCTGATCACAGTGACCAGCATTTTTAGTGAAGAAATATGGAAAAGCTGTTTTTGGTGAAATACAGGATTATGTTTTTATCGTAAACATTAAGGAAGTAAGTGAAGGTGCCATTTAGTAATTCTCCATAAAACTTGTTTTCTTTCTTTCTTCTTACAAAAATTCTAATATTTTTTCTGCATACTAACCAAGATAATTTTAGATGCCAAACTGAATTCTCCTGATGTAAGGTCACTTTTTGGGAGTTTAGTCTTACAAAATCACTTGGTAGTATAGTATTAAAAAGTGTCCAGATCTTGCTCTGAAAGTGATAAGACATTTCTGCAAGAAATGAGAATTGAAGACAGTGAAAGAAATCTGTATTGCATCATATCCTAATGTACTTTAAAGCAAATTGCAAAATTCCAATTGATGTAACATTTGTTTCTCTAAGAACTGCTGCTCTGTCAGCAGCTGGAACCTGCAGTATAGAAGCCACATTCACCACAAATGATTTTTCTAGAGAGTTCAGTTCAGCAGAACACCCTGGTTACAGTGTGCAAAGTAGGCTGGGGCAGCAGGGAAGGGAGCTTCCTTCCACCAACATGGTTTGAGTAGTAAGGGAAGTCGGTGACTGCATTTCCACATGTAGGTATGTGGGAGAGCTTGGTTCCTGTGAGCGCACAGATTCCCCCAAGTTCAGCATATGTTTTCTGGGTCCAGGGCAGTTCACCACTCCCTGGACTGTCACAAACCCTACCTGCTTCAGTGATGATCCTCTGACACCTCTCATTCCCTGAGTACCACAGAAATCCATGTTTCTCTCTTATTATGGTCTTCATGAAATCAATAGATCTGGGGTCCATACTGAGATTATGACCATGGACTATTTGAGAATCACTGTTATAAATAGTAAGTTGTATTGTGAACAAGTCCATCATTCTGATTCAGTGTATTTTCAGAACAAACATAAGGGGAATACTGACTTCCATTGTCCTGTGTACGTTCTTTGAAAGGCTGGTACTGCCCTGTCCCAGTTGGATGTGCGAGTTGCTTTTATCTGCAACCAGAGACTATAGTGCTACATGGGGCTAAGCTTCCCTGTGTTTATTTTTGTCCATTTGTCTTCTAGGTCAGCAAAGCAGCCTGCATTCTCACCACGCAGACCCTAATGAGGTTACTGAGGTCCCGAGAGGCAGCAGCAGCTGTGGACGTGAAAACCTGGCCAACTATCATTGACACAGGTGAAAGGGAGATTTCTCCAGAGTCGTTGCGAGAGCAAGAACATTCACTCCCCAAGGTTTCCTAGATTCTCATGCCAAAGATGTTTACACAGCTCTTCCATTGCAGCCCATTCCACCTGCTAAGACAGATGCAAAACTTAATATGCACTCAGCTTGAGTTACCAAAGCACTGGATACTGCAACGACCAGATCCAAAGAAGCAGATCACAATGTGCTTGAACATTGGAAACAAAACCTGTCTTCCTGTGATACTCTTGGCATCATCAGACAGTGTGGTTAGGTGTTTATGCCAGATGTGACCACATACGTACAGGGCTGCATAAAGCAATGAGAAGATCTGACCTTTGACTTCCAGATGCGATAGAGTTGGAGCAGCACTGGGCTAGGAGTCAGCAGGCCTGATTCTAGTTCAAGCTTCAGCCCTCATTTTGTATATAACCTTGGCTGAGATTAGCCTCACTTAAATTACTACCTACCCTTGCATAACTCACATATTTATTGGAGATATCGAATGCAACATAATACGAAAATACTTTGAAAACCATAAAGTGTATGAATTTGAATGGTGTTCATACTAAAGAAGGGGGTGGGACACTAGGGTGACTAGAGATGGTAGTGGAGAGGGGAGTGCAGGTTTTGGAGTTGAGCAGACAAGTGTAAACCCTCATCCTCTTGTTACTCGTAGCTGCTTCATGTTGTTGTAAAGATTAGATGACATCACATGAAGCGCCAGCACACAATCATTATCATAACAACATCTAACTTTATTTAGCCTTTATCATGTGGTAGTCATCTAACCCTATCAGATAGATGCCAGTTGTATCCTCATTTTACAGATGAGAAGGCTGAGGCACGGGGAAGTTAAATAGGTAGTAAGTTGGCCAAAATGTTCATTTAGGTTTTTGTATAAGATGTTACAGAAAAACCTGAACGAACTTTTTGGCGAACCAATAGGCTGAAGTTCAAACCCAGTCAGTTTGGCTCCCTTCCCAGTAGCTTAACTGTTAATTTCCTCCCTACCAGTTCTCAGGTAAGTATTAGATAGTATCCACCTCAGGAACAATTAAAATGGATGTAAACCCAAGGATGACATCTATTTATGGTTATTGTCCAGATGCTGAACTGTAAGCAGTCATTTATATAGTATTCAACACAAGTGGATTGTATTGGTGTTAACGATGGAGATAATCTACTGTGGTTATTGGACTCAATCATGTTTCAGGAAGACCTGAAATGTGTGCTGTGATACAAACAACAGAAAGGTTTCTTTCAGTGCTGGAGTAGCTCTTCCCTGCACAGAGCTGGGTCGAAGGTGGTAGAGACAATCTTTGGTTTGGCCAGAGATGAGTGCCCAGTGACACAGAGATTGAAAAGCAAGAGTCAGAATCGTTTCATGATTTGGAGACCAAAGGAGCCAGTAAGGAGGCATGGCTAGGGCCAGAGACATCCTTGAAGTCCTTGGATTCCACATACAGATTTGGACAGAAAGGAGAGGTGTCATAAAAGAGCAAAGGGAAATAATTCCCAGTTCTAAACTCTCATTCTTAAAATTTGTCACGTTAACTTGGAGAAAAACCATCCAGCTTTTAAAGCAGACTGTGATTACTGTACCATGTACTAAACTAAATAAATTTTAACTTGAAACCAGCATAACAAGTAAAGCTTCTTGAGTTGTTTTAAAGTATTTTATGTGAATTAACTTCCTAACAGTTCAGTGAGGGCAGGTTTTATTATCACTTTAGAGCCGAGTAAACAGAAACAAAGAGGTTAAATAACACCAAGGCGACGACCTCGTTGATAAGTGGCACAGCTGGAATTTGAACACTGGCAGCTTGCTTCTTTAACCTGTTTTCGGCTACTGTGTTATAGTACTGCTCCCTAGTCTTCTGGTAGATACTTCAACCTTATCACTCCAGGAGTGATGTTTGTGAGCTAGTTGGTTAAATGCTAGAAACCCTAAGCTTTAGCAAATCTCAGAAGCTAAATGTGGTTCTAGCAATGCCACAGAAGACCAACTGAATAGCAGTGATTTTTGAGTTCCAGCGTGTCAGGTTTTTTTTGAAGTGTATTTATTTACAATGTTGTGTTTAATTTCTGCTCTTACAGCAGAGTGACTCAGTTTATATATATATATATATATTCTTTACCATTATGGTTTATCACAGGACGTAGGATATTGAATATAGTCCCTGTTCACAGTAGCACCTTGTTGTCAATGTGTGTGATTGACATTGGGTTTTCTTTTTTTCTTTGCAGATGATTTACCCAGGAAACGGTTACCTCAACTCTATAAACCACCCACTCCTGAGATGCTGGCATATCTTGATTTTAGTGTCTCCACAACTGGCATGCTCACAGGAGTGAAGGTAGAGTAGTCGGGATATATTTACTTTCACTGGAGGCTGGTAAAATGCCAGGTCTGCAAAAAATAGAGATGACCACTGCCCCAGGGACTTCAGATGGAGAGGCCAGTTGGTTGTACCAGAGACCAGTAGGCGGAGGATCAAGGGCCTCTGCTATATTTAAATAAAAGCATTGGCTCTTCCGGAATAAGTTATCCCAAGGAATTTGTGTTATGAAGTGTTCTGAACCTAGCATAGACACTAATAGATAATGCAAGTTACATTTAAAGCCAGTATAAAGTCATAAATTCATACTTCATAGGACTCAATATTGACAAATGAATAGATAGACTTGAGTTAGATTAGGCATTTTGAAGCAATAAAGATACATGTCATTTTGAGGAGCTGAAGGGAATTGAAGCTTCTCAAATCTATCGTTAGAGCTGCTCTTCTGCCTGCGGGATGCCAGTTCCATCCTGTTCCGTGTTTCTTACCTTCCAGATGTCCCACTGTGCGGTCAATGCTCTCTGTAGAGCCATCAAGCTCCAGTGTGAGTTATACTCCTCTCGGCAGATCGCCATCTGCCTTGACCCTTACTGTGGACTTGGCTTTGCACTCTGGTGTCTCTGCAGGTAGGCATGGATAAAGCAAAGAATCAGAATGCATGGGAGTATCTTTGAGGCTGGGACCATCCCATTCTTTCATGTGCTCCGTTAATTTGGTAAAGTTTCAGTAAAATGCTGATGTTTCCTGGAATTTGTGCACCTAGTGCATCTTTGCCGTTTATCTGGTTTTGTTTGCATTCCGTCTTTTCTGTTAGTTTTATGCCTCAGACAAAAGGGCTGTGATCTTTCTACCTCTCCTGTGCTCCATCCTGTCATCATCCTCATTTTAGAATCAGAGCCAAGGAGAAGGATGACACTTGGGTGAATGGCACGCTGTGTCAGCCAGAACGTACCCCCTAGGCTTGGCAGGAAGGACTGTAATGAGATGGGTGACAGCATGTGGCTGGAAGGTAGCGCACTGGCCAGATTGTTTCTTGTGGAAGAGCAGATCCCAGCTCTTTCCACTCTCCCCCCAAGGACCTCATCTCAACCTGCATTTCCATCTCCTTGGTGAGCATCTCCAGGAGTGCTTCACAGACACCTGTGACTCAGCACCTTCCTTCTGTGTTCCCTTCCTTCTTAGGATGGAGTCATTCACTTGGGGAACCATGCTAGGAACTTGGGCTTTGTCTTCAACTCTGAATCTTTATGTCACACATCCAATTAAATGTCATGTCCTTTGTTTCCATTATACTTATCTATACATAAGAATCACCTAGGGGTCTATTTTTTAAAAAAAAAATCAATGAGGCTTCCCTAGATGTACTAACCAGTTTTCCAGAGGTGAAGACCACAATTCCAGCTTTGTTTTTTTTTTTTTTTGGCCTTGCCAAAAAAGAAAAAACCAGATTCTTTTAGAATTTAATCTGATTAATACCTTGTGGAGAAGAAGGTAAAGCTGGTTAGGAGGCTAAATAGAAATGACCCTTATATGAAGATGAACAGAAACTATGACCTGAAAGAGGATTTTCCCTAATAGAAATTTGCAACTTGAGGATAGTAGAGATTTGGGGACTCCTCCATAGATAAAGTCACTCTCTTGTGAGATTTTAGTTGCCCAACCAGGGATTGAACCCATTCCCCCTGCAGTGGAAGCACAGAGTCTTAATCAGTGGACCACCAGGGAAGCCCCTGTCCAGTATTTTTTTTAATAGATGATCTGGACTCCTAGTGATTCTGATGTATACCCAAGGCTTAGGAAGCTGAGGCTTCATGGCTGGAGATTGTACATACGATACGAGACTGTTCCAGTCCTTCTTGTGTATCCTGGTGTGCTGGTGGGGTAGCCCTTATCCTCTCTCACCTGGACTATTGCAGCCTCTCCTAACTGCCTGTCAGCCTTCAGTGACTCATGTCTCTAATCCCCCCCCGCCCCTTCATGTAGCTAGCTTTACCCCAACTTCAAGCTGTAGTGACTGTCTACTGGGTAAATTCTAAACTCTTTCATGTAATAGTAGTTCAGTCCTTTCACAGTTTGACCCTGGCCCTTCTGCCTTCACTTCTCACCACTTCCCCAGGCAAACGCTGGAGGTACCATTTCTGATGACCTTAAACACACCATGTAATTTTATATCTCCATGCCTTTGCATATACTATTCTTCTGCCTGGAGAGCTCTCACCAGCTTCCTCATTTTCTCCAGCTACTGTCAAATTCCTGCTCATTCTTCAAGTCTGGCCCAGCTGTCACCTACTCAATGAAACACCCACCCAGTGTGAAGGACTTGCTCTTCATTCTGTGATTGTGATAGCCTTTCTTCACATCTCAGTGTCCACCTTCCATAGTGTGCTTTATTCGCTTTATTCTGTAGTTATTGTGTTGTGTGAGTTGGATAGGAACCAGGCTGATTCTTAGGCCTTTATATCTAATATGACCCTCCCCTGTCCTTCGTGCTCAATAAATATTTGTTGAATTGATAATATTCTAGGATGAATTGATCGTGTTAACGCTTGCCTTTTTTCATTGCAGTGTCTATTCAGGTCACCAGTCCATCTTAATTCCTCCTATGGAGTTGGAAAACAACCTTTTCCTCTGGCTCTCCACGGTCAACCAGTACAAAATAAGAGACACGTTCTGCTCCTATTCAGTAATGGAGCTTTGCACCAAAGGGCTTGGAAACCAAGTGGAGGTGCTGAAGGTAAGAAGCAGCTGTAACAAGGAGCCAGTCCTGAGAGAAACGGACCAGGTGTGGTGATACCCCACCTTGTAGGACTGGCCAGACATACCTGCCTGCTTTTTTCTATCCAAACAGGTATTTGTAAACCTCAGTAGGTGTATCTCTTTCACTGTCTAATTTAATACACTCTTTTAGAGTTTAATCTGATTCATACATTGTGGAAAAGAAGGTAAAGCTAGTTAGGAGACTGAATAGAAATGACTTTTACATGAAGATGAACAGAAACTGTGAACTGAAAGAGGATTTTTCCTAATAGAATTTGAAACCTGAGGATATTAGAGATTGGGTCCTCCTCCATAGATAAGGGTCACTCATTCATGAGTGTATCCAGTGATCATATGTCTAAGTGGCATATGAGAGAGTCAGAAAACACCAAATTTTCTTTAATAGAGAAGTAAGACCTTAAGAATGAAAAAAAGAGACGAGATTAGATCTCAGTGTTGCTAAATTTATTTTTCTGTTCTTCCCATCTCTCCATTTTGAAATAGAGAAATCTAAGGTACAGAAATGAAGAGGAATTAAAAATATATTGCTGAAAAACCTAAGAGTTTTAGGCAAAAGAGGAAAGAAATAGAGAATGAGCAAATCAACCTGTGGGTAATGACTTTAGAAGAATGCCTGGGTATTTTCCAAAAAGGTATATTTTTTCTTTGGGTATGTGAGATGAGAGCACACGGTTCCTTGGCTTTTCCTGATGAAAGAGGTAGGGCAGTGAAATTGCTTATCCAGTGCTTCTGTGACCCTACTGATCTCCGCCTCCACCTCCCACCCCCCCAACGTGGTGTCTTACAGACCCGGGGAATCAACCTCTCCTGCATCCGAACGTGTGTGGTGGTGGCTGAGGAGCGGCCCCGCATTGCCCTCCAGCAGTCCTTCTCCAAGCTCTTTAAGGACATCGGTCTGTCCCCACGGGCTGTCAGCACCACTTTTGGATCCAGAGTCAATGTAGCGATATGTTTGCAGGTGACTCTCATGATATCTTTTTTGTGTGGGGGGCTCAGAGCATAGGCTGCTGCTTACCCGCTGTTTATTTGGGCTCCACTGTGCCTGATTTTGCCCATTGGTAAAATGAAGATGATAGTATTGTCCTTCACAAGGTTGTCCTGTAGAACCACCAAGTTTCTAGGTGCCAGTCTCTTGGACCCATGCCCAACAGTTGAATGCTAATGTAAATGTTTACTTTCAGTGGTTTTATGGTCCTCGACATGAGCCAAGATTTCTGAATCCTACTTGAATTTTATTTTCTATTACCCTTTGTGGGTTTTTATTTTATTTTATTTTATTTTATTTTGGCAAAGCAAGCACAAATAAGTTTGTGTTCTCTTCTTTAGCCAGATGGCAATTTTGCCATGTTATCTTGGTGGGTAAATAATAGAAAAAGGCTAAAAGAACAGATAAGAGTGAAATCTAATTTTCTATAGCTCGGAAAATTCATAAGGCAAATACAGGCATGGACAAGAGAGAGAGTCAAAGAAGGTGGCATAGCTGGGTGGACGCGCTCAGGTCCTCTGTGTCTGGGTCGGGTGACTTTGAGCAGCATCACAAGGCTTTAACCTTGGAGCCCTGCTATGGGTGCCTTACCGCCAGCGTGGGCCAGTGTTGGTTTTGGAAGTCCCATGGATGCTGGTCTGTCATACCCCGGCCTTAAGTCCAGGGATGAGGACCCTCCTCACCCTGGTAACTGTTCGGTGCTGCTCTGGCCCCCAGCCTCCTCTCCTGGGGGAGGAAAGGAAAGAAAGATGAGGAGAAAGCTGGCCAGAAATCTTCTCTCAGGTGTTGACTACAGCCCTGGCCCATCTGGTTGAAGACAGGGTGAGCATTCAGAACAGAATTTGGATTTTTCCTGTATGTGACTAAATTATCTGTCTTGACTTTAAAATGTAAACGTGGAAATGCCATTCAGCTCATTTTAAATGAACAACCCACTGATTTATTTTTCTTCAGGGAACCTCAGGGCCTGATCCAACTACTGTATACGTAGATTTGAAATCATTAAGACATGACAGGTAAGTAGATTTGTTAAGCTTGTTTCCTGTTAGCATTCCTAAGCATATAAATTTCTGAGCCTCAAGAAAGCCAGCTGTCCCCCGCACCTCATTCATTTTGTTTGTGTCTTTGCAGGGAGGAGGGTAAGAGGGAAGGAACTCATTTTCATTAGTAGTACCTAATAAGATTTACATTTATAAGAGGAAAGCTTTAATTCTCATAGTGGCTGCACTGTTCCTTAATATTAAAATGTAATACTAGTATTTTGTGACATTATGACATAAATTAACACTGAAATGGATAGACTCTTTTCTTCTGGGAGTCTAAAAATAACTGAAATAAGATAAATGAGACAGTGTAGGGTTTTTGAAATAGCACTCTATCTGAACCACAGGAATAAAAGCCTTCCTCCTCACCAGCCCACAGGTGAATGGGAGCTACGTCCCAGGGGAGCTCCTGGTTGAGGGCTCTGGATCCTGCTGACTCAGGCTGTGTTCATGGAGAGGCCGGTGGCACTGACGCAGCCTGCACAGGCAGAGCGTCTCTAGTGCTGTGGTTCTCAGCCTGGAGAGAGTCTGCCCTCCAAGGACAGTGTCTGGGACAGGGATTGTCCCGACCAGGGAATGCTACTGACATCTAGTGGGGAGAGGCCAGGGGTGTTGTTAAACATCCTACAGCGCACAGGATAGCGCATCACAGAAAGTTACAATAAAGTATCTGACCCAAATGTCAGTAATGTGGAGTTTGAGAAACTGCGCTGATGTGAGGAGAGCTATGAATAGATGAGAGGTTTGGGAGGACAGCGTACAGCCGTGGTGGGTTTTTTTTTAAGGCTCATATGTAGTAAATATTTTTCTTTTATAGGGTTCGTCTTGTGGAACGGGGTGCCCCCCAGAGTTTGCTCCTCTCAGAGTCTGGAAAGGTAATTTGTGTGTTAACCATTGGGAAGGTGTGTGTCACCTGTGTGGAGAAGTAGTTTTAAAGAAACCTGAAGCCGTATAATATACATGTTAGTACCCAGGGCAAGACTGAATTGATATCTGGAGATAATTCAACAATTTTCACTTAGCCAATACTTTCAAATTCATATGGGTACATAAATAAGAAGAATACTAGATTTGAACTTTCTTAATTTTCATAGATTTTTATTTTTAAATCCTGCCGACATACTATTTGACAAACCAACTAAATTCATTGTTCATTATACTCAAGATGAAGAGATGAGCAGCACTAAGAAGAGCCAGTTCTACCTTTATGAATATTACAAGTGGAAAGACAGGGTGACAGGTCGGGGGTGTGGTTAAAGATCCAGGGAAGACATGCACATACTTAAAGTTGAAAGAGAAATCAAAATGGGGAAGAGATTAAAGATATTTGAGAGTGATTTCTTGGCTGAGAATAAGGCTTTAAACTGTTCAGGGAGACATTTTGTTGTTGCCTTAGTCCATTCAGGCTTCTCTAACAGAATACCATAGACCAGGCAGCTTATAACAGCAGAAACTTCTCTCTCACATTTCTGGAGGCTGGCAAGCCCAAGATCCAGGTGCCCGCGGATTCTGATGAGGGATTTCTGGTTCTTAGATGGCTGTCCTGTCGCTGTGTGCTCACATGGTGGAAGGGGCTAGGAAATCTCTGAGTCTTGTGTATGAGAGTATGGATCGCATTCGTGAGAGCAGACCCTTGACCTCCTCCCAAAGGCCCCGCCTCATAATGCCGTCACTTTAGGGGTCATGTTTCAGCATACTGATTTCAGTCTATAGCAGTTTCGAACAGTTTACTCATGTTCAGCAGATCAAATCCATATAAGCTATCAAGTTTCTCATCCTTTTGAAGAGAGAGTAATGATGCCTCAGCATCCCTTCTAATTCTGAAAGGTCAAGGAGAATGTAGGGAAGGAAGGAGTGGGCCCAGCCTCACCTGTGCAGTCGTGGCTCAGCCCGTTGTGGAAATCCCTGTTTCACTCCTCTGTTTAAACTCTTCCCAGTGGAGCTGGGTTGACCGCCTTACCGTCTTGCCAGCTCTTCCTCTGCCTCCGCTGGCGGCGAGCCCCTCAGGGACTTCAGAGCAGTGCCTGGCCCACACAAGCAGGAGTGGCCTTCCTCTTCCTTCCTTGAGGTCTCACATGTGTGAGCTTCTTGATGCTAGAAACCCAAGGAAAAGAGAGGTTTAGGACAGAGGTCGGGTGTCTGAAGAGGCCCCAAGCCATCCTCGGCCAGCACCTGCCGCTCCCTTCTCCCTCCTGAGGGAGATGCGGGCACGTGACGTCTCTCCCCTCTCCTGCTGAGCCGCCACTGGTCTGTGGTTTCTCGCCTTTGAGGAGACGGCAGACAGGTTAGTTCCCCAGTTTAGTTTTGAGGCAGAATCTTGTTATACATACTTCTGTCCCCTGAGGACGATCCTGTGAGTACTGGCTCGGCTCTGGCCTGTGTGCACTCCCTCACCTCACTGGAGGGAGGAAGTGGAAACTGCATTTATTAGAGGTCATGAGATCCAATGGAACTCAATTTTTATGTTTTCTTTTTGATTCTTAGATCTTACCTGGAGTGAAAGTAGTTATTGTTAATCCAGAGACCAAAGGGCCTGTTGGAGACTCGCATCTGGGAGAGGTATGTATAATTCTCCCCTTGACTCTGAAAAGTCAGCAATGAAATACCCCAGGGTTCATATTCTAGAAGCCAGGAAACTGTGGGTTTAGCTTTTCCCTCATGGTGACTGTTTGAGAATTTTCATCTTTCTCTGTAAGGCTCAGAACTAAAATGAGGCAGAAGGGGGAATGGAGGCCAGGATGGAAGGAAGGTTGAGGCACAAGCTAGAGTTAGTCCCAGATTGGTCCACCGACATTCCCTTAGCTGAAGATGAAAATGGATGAACTCATCTGCTCCCATCTATTAAGGAGTGGAACTAAAAGGAGCCACAAATATTGAATTTTTAAAATTTATACAGGGACTTCCCTGGCGGTCCAGTGGCTAAGACTCCTTGCTCCCACTGCAGGGGGTACAGATTGGATCCCTGGTCAGGGAACTAGATCCCACATGTTGCCAATAAGAATGCTGCAGCTAAAGATCCCACTTGCCTCAACTAAGTCTGGGCTCGACCAAATAAAATAAATATTTTAAAAAATAAAATAAGATTTATACAAATTTTATTCCAAAATATATTCATTTTTGTATAAATATAAAAATATTGTGCATGCTAAGTCACTTTAGTCATGTCTGACTCTTTGCAACCCATGGACTGTAGCCTGCCAGGCTCTGTCTCCATGGGATTCTCCAGGCAGGAATATTCGAATGGGTTGCCATTTCCTCTTCCAGGGAAGCTACCCAACCCAGGGATTGAACCTGCTTCTCATATGTCTTCTGCTTTGGCAGGCAGGTTCTTTACCACTAATGCCACCTGGAAAGCCCTTATAAAAACACTGAGAAGTCTTAATTTTTCTTCCTTCCAAATCTCTGGGAAACAACTGCTGTCTTATCTCACAGCTAACTGGGAGCAGGGCTCCAGGTGGCTGAACCAGGTGACCAGCCTCTGCCAGTTACCAGCTTCTTGTTAATGCACGAGTTACTCAAACTCCCTAGGCCTAGTTTCCTCAACTGTAAATAATCATGGCACCTACCTAGTAGAATTGTGTGATAGTTAAATGCATTAATATCTGTATTTGTATACACATGGAACAGTGCCTGTCACACAATGGACACTCGTGTTATTACTGTTGTTGGGTATTGGTGTGTTTATATTGTAAATCCAAATACCCTATAGTGTTTTCCTGCAGGCTTTTTAACTTGGTTTCAAAGCACAGAAATGATCTCTCAGTGCACTGGTGAGACTCTGAAAGAGGCTGAGAAATGAGCCAAGGAGGCAGTGGAGCCTCCAGGTTGGATCTGGGTCTCTTGGTTTCTGTATCTTAGGTGACTTACGTAAGGGCTTCCCTGACGGCTCAGATGGTAAAGAATCTGCCTGCAATGCAGGAGACTCAGGTCGAATCCCTGGGTTGGGAAGATCCCCTGGAGAAGGGAGTGGCTCCACACTCCAGTATTCTTGTTTTTTCATTTGTAAAATGGGAGTGACAGTAGTACAGACTGTATTGTCATGTTGTGTATGTGAAGACTGATGGGGGTAATGTTTATAAAGTACTGTTTAGCACATGTAAATTCAGTAACTGACAGCCGCTTTCATTGTTGTAACTTTTTGGTTATTATAAAAATGAGGTTAAGAAAACCAACATAATCTGTCTTAAGTGGACTGAATTGACTCTGGCAAAATGTGACCGGTACCCTTTTCTTGTTGTAGATTTGGGTGAACAGTCCCCATACAGCCAGCGGCTATTATACCATCTACGACAGTGAGACTCTGCAAGCTGACCACTTCAATACCCGCCTCAGCTTTGGGGATGCTGCCCAGACCCTCTGGGCTCGGACAGGATACCTGGGTTTTGTCCGCCGGACGGAGCTCACAGCAGCCACTGGAGGTAACTTCACCGGCTCCTCCCCCTTGTCCTGCTGTGCATTTCAAATGCCCCTAGCATGGGCTGGCCCTCTGCAGCCTGCCTTTGCATTGTGGAATATGTGTGTTGACCTGTTCCCCCTCTGCAACTCTAGAACCCACCTGTGAATTTATATTCCTTTGCAGTAAGACTTTGTCCTGTGAAGAGGACCCAGGAGGTAAACGCCAGGGCCTCGTGTCACCACGAGGTGAACCTCAGGATAGTTTGGCTGGGCAGTCATAGAGATGTGCCCGGTGATGGGTGAATGCCCTCGGCAGGATACAGCCTCTCAGCAGCCTTATGGGGCTGCCTGCATCCCTCAGCAGGCTCCTGGGACAGGGTTCCGTCTTTAGTTCCTCTGTTCCTAAACCCTGCGAGCAGGAGTCAGTGCAGAGGAGCTGACCTGCTAAGTGCTCTGACCCTTTGGCGGCTCACAAGACTGCTTGGCAGGGCTCTGGGGTAAGCAGCCCCCAGTCACTGTCTGCCTGGTAAAGAGGCCTGGCTTCAACCTTCCTGCCACCATTAATGGCCGTTTAAAAATACCCTACACTTTGTGCATCATACACATCAAGAACTGGTGCATCACTCACTGGACTAAACGGCTGGAATGGAGCCAGGTCATTTCTCCTTTGCCCCTTCCATCTGCTCCCTGCTGGTCGGCCCTGCAGTCACTCCATATTTCATGGGGAAGCAGACTCAGGCATCCTGGAGGCAGGGGAAGCACACCTTGCTGGGTGTCCTGGTTTGGAAACCTGTCTCTGCCCTTTGCTGTGTGACCTTGCACTCACTCAATCTCTCAGTTTCCTACCTGGGAAGTGGGAGTGATGACATTTCCTGTCTTGTGGACATGATGTGAGATTAAATTACATGACGCCTTCAGGTGTCTGGAACACTACTTGGCACACAGAAAGCACTCCCTAGTCATTAGCTACTGTGTTTCTGTTGTTTTTATTACTATAATCATCAGCTCATCTTATGTGACAGGCCTTCCTTACCCTCCTCTCTCCAGCAGCTTCTAGCACTTTGTTTTACTAAATGTTTCAGAATTATTCCTATTCCTGAAAATAGATCATTCTGTTGTTACTACTGTTTAATTGCTAAGTCGTGTCTGACTTTTTGCTACCCCAACCCCATGGTCTGTAGCCTTCCAGGCTCCTCTGTCCATGAGATTTCCCGGGCAAGAATACTGGAGTGAGTTGCCGTTGCCTTCTCCAGGGGATCTTCCTGACCCAGGGATCAAACCTGCCTTTTGGCAGCTGAATTCTTTACTACCGAGCCACCTGGAAAGCCCAAAACATTCTGTAGGCCTAGCTAAATCATTGTCTTCAGCATCTATATAGACATAAACTAGGTAGCCTTGTGTGTACAGTGTGTGCATAAAATCTTAAAAAAAAAAAAAAAGAGTGAAATTTCTGCCATGTTCTGCTGGATTAGAAGCCTGTTAATAAGCAGGACTAGTCTCTCCATGGATTCCTTAACGACATCTAGAAACAATGACCATATATTCATTTCTTTTCCGTCTCAGATCCTCCCCTCTCCTTCTTTCCCCACCCGTCATCTGGCTAATTCCTGTTTATCCTTAAAAACACAGGTGGCTTTAGCTTTTCCTTCTCTGAACCCTTGAGCTGAGCTCGGAGGCAGTCGGGGGAGGGGAGGGTGATGTCCTCTGTTCCCCTCGCCCCTCATCCACACTCAAGTTACTGGGTTTACCACGTTCCATCTGATATCCACCCATAGGACACCCGTTGTGTGTGTTCCCCCCACTAGACAGCAAGTATCTCTGGAGCAGGTGTCATATTTTGTCATCGTTACTCCCCACACTGGGCACAGTTCCTGGCACATGGTAGTAATAAGAATAACAAGAGCTAATATTCTTCAAAATCACTGTGGACAGTGACTGTGGCCAAGAAAAAAAGATTCTTGCTCCTTGGAAGAAAAGCTATGACAAACCTAGACAACGTATTTAAAAGCAGAAATAACACTTAGCCGACAAAGATCTCTCTAGTCAACACTGTGATGTTTCCAGTAGTCATGTACAGATGTGAGAGTTGGACCATAAAGAAGACTGAGCACTGAAGAATTGATGCTTTCGAATTGTGGTGCTGGAGAAGGCTCTTGAGAGTTCCTTGGACAGCAAGGAGGTCAACCCAGTCAGTCCTAAAGGAAATCAACCCTGAATATTTATCGGAAGGACTGATGCTGAAGCTCCAATACTTTGGCTATCTGATTGGAAGAGCTGACTCAAGACCCTGATGCTGGGAAAGATTGAAGGCAGGAGAAGGGGGCAACAGACGATGAGATGGATGGTATCACTGATTCAATGGACAGGAGTTTGAGCAAGCTCCTGGAGATAGTGAAGGGCAGGGAAGCCTGGCGTGCTGCAGTTCATGGGATTTCAGAGTCAGATGTGACTTAGCAACTGGAAAACAGCAAATACTCTTCAGCACGTACAGTGAACCAAGCAGCATTCTAACTCCGTTTCATGAATTTAATCCTCACAGCAGCCATTTATTATTACCCCTGTTTCATGGAGGGGAAGCAGGATCAGCGACTTAAGTTAATTGCTCCAGGTTACACAGCTGGTGAGTGGTGGCACCAGGTGATGTGTGGCAGTCTGAACACTGGGCACTTAACTCCAATGATGCGCCCCACTCAGTACATCTGATAACTAAGTTTCTCTTTCTCTCCATCAGAGCGTCATGATGCCTTATATGTGGTGGGCGCTCTGGACGAGACCCTGGAGCTGCGAGGCCTGCGGTACCACCCCATCGACATTGAGACCTCCGTGTCTCGGATCCACAGGAGCATTGCCGAATGGTAAGTCCTCTGCACAGACAGAGTAGGTCTCTCCTCAGCTGCGGTAAGTTAAAGTTGATCTTTAGTCATTTAGCTGTACCAGAGACACCTACAGATGTGGAACTCTAGGGGAGCAAGCTGTGGAGACGGGCTCCGTGCACCCTCTCTGGGGCCGAGTCCTTTCAATGACAGGATCTTACCACTGGAACTGACCTAACTGGTCATCCACCTTTAGAAGGTTGGTGGGGCTAATGGGGAGAACCAGGACTTTTGGGTCAAAAGACCCATCTGGAAGGCCCAGCGCTGCCACAGTGGCTGCTTTCCTCATCTAAAAATACCTCCTCTGTTCCTTCCTGATCATCAGGAGGATCAAGTGAGAGTGTGCTTCATACTCTATCAAACCTGTCAACAGATGAAAAAGATTATCATCATTATCTGGTCCAGGTTCTCTGTCTGGGCAGGAATTCCCCCTTCATTATCCCTGATAAAGAACCATCCAACCTCATGCTGACTAAAAATTTCTTAAAATTGAAATTCTGTAATTTTTAACTGTTGACTTTTATCCTGGATTCTTTTACAATACAGAATCCACCCAGTTTCTTTTTATTCATATTTTAGTTGGTGTGTCCTTCCTCAGGTTTGTTGGTTTTTTTTTTTAATTCATGCAAAGTAACCACAGTTCTTTTAATGGTTTGTTCATGCTTTCCAGATGCTTCTTTGTCTTGCTTTTGTCAGTCTCTCCTCAGACCTGAACAAGGAAGTATAAGAACAGTGCAGAAAAGTTGGGTGCCTCCTACCCCCTAATTTTAAGCATTTGACATTTTTTTTTTTTTTTAGCATTTAACTTTTGATGCAACCAAATGTTGTGTACATTTTTCTTAATGATTGGAATCTATTTTTAAAGCAGCTCAACACTGCACAGCACAGATCAGCCCATACCTTCTAACCCAGCAATCCCACTGAACGTCAGGTGGCGTTGTGCCTTATGGCACGACAGGAGAGACACTTGATTGGGGCACTGAGCTCAAAGAGGCCAGCCGACTCCCTTCCTGTTTGGTGTTAGCTTATAGATAATAATCTTAGTCAAAGCTGTTATGTTGCAAATACCAAGAATTCTCTTCAAAACAACTTTTGAGCAAAAGAGAGGACATAGAAAGAACACCTGGTTGGTTATCTCGGAGGCTCCTAGAAGTCTCTAAACAGCTCTGAAATCTCAAGAAAGGTAGAAACAGGGATGGAAAGGCCATCAGGGACCACCAGCTTCTCGCTTTCTAGAGCCATGTGGGCGTCCACGCCATTCTTTCTCTCCTCCCTGAAAAGCCATTCTCTCTATGTCTCTGCACACCTACTACACCAGAACCTTCCAGTCCACATATCCTCAGCTGAGGTGACCAGCTAACAACTTTTCAGTCCCACTTCCAAACACCCAAGAGATTTTAAATGGTTTAACCAATCAGTTGTTATCATGGGGCAAGGCCATTCATTACACATGTGACTTAGAGCCTTCTGGTTGGGTCCAAGTGAGAAGGCAGTTCTTGGGGCAGTGAGGGTAAGCCTTGGGCAGACACTGTAAAAGATGCCACATTAACTGAGCGTCACTGAAATTGCAGTGCTGTGTTCACGTGGACCAACTTGCTCGTGGTGGTCGTGGAACTGTGTGGCTCTGAACAGGAGGCCCTGGATCTGGTTCCTTTAGTGACAAATGTGGTCCTGGAGGAGCATTACCTCATCGTGGGCGTGGTGGTCGTGGTGGACCCAGGTGTCATCCCCATCAACTCCAGAGGAGAGAAGCAGAGGATGCACCTCCGTGACAGCTTCCTCGCTGACCAGCTGGACCCCATCTATGTGGCGTACAACATGTAACCAGCCTCGTGGGATTGCAGGGACCATCCTGCAAAACCACGGGAGCCAGAGACCCGTGAATGATGTGAAATAAGCTGAGATGGCTATTATATCCTTCATCTCATCCTGTGGTATCCTGCCATCACAGGATACGCAGGAGAGGGGAATTCTGTGGTGGCAAATGAAAAAAATGTTAACAATCTGTTAGTCATGAGCTTTGACATAGCGTGAGCAGCACGTTACTAAAGCAATTACATGCATGTTGCATTTTTTTCATCTGTTGTATATACTTGTATTTTTATCTAATGCTGTTTTAGAATTTTGTAAGGGAGTTTAATGAATTCACATGAAGGGGATAGTTTGAGTTACACAGTCCCCCGCTCTGTACTGTATTTTGCCATTTTACCATAGTTAGACACTCTGCGGGTTTTGTTAACATGGAGCTACTTGGCTTACTTTCAGTTGACCCATAAGCAAATCAGATAACCCACTGAATATGAGAATTACTTTATATATATAATTCTTGACTGTAAAACATTTTGACCAGTGTTTTAAACATGTAAATAGGAATACACATAATTCAGCTAAAAAATGTAAGAATTGGCTTGTATAGTTGTAACAACTAAAGTAGAAACATTGCTGCTCTGAGAGAGAATCTCGGTATTCTCTGGGTGCAGTGTAATTGAATAGATGACTAAAAAGTGCAAATTGTTTGCAGGTTTTGCTGCACATTGTACTATGTCTCTGTTGGCTGGTATATTTTATAAACTGAAGCTGCCTATGTTTGTTTTTTAGGCTTGCTTTCCCAGAATCAGCTTAAGCTTTTAAGAATTGAGCCTGTTTCTACAAACTGAAAAATCTCAGTTGAAAAATCAAAATGTTAGGAAAAGCTCAGATTCATTAGATCCCACCCAATTTTAAGGAACCACAGTAACTCACTCCAGCCCCCAGTGTTGAAACAGTCTTTCACATGTAGTGACTACACAAGAATTTAAAATTTCCTCTTTTCCGGGCCCATTGTATACTGTGTCTGCAGTTATACATATAGCTTCTCTTTTCTGAGAACTGAAGAGCATCCTCTATGCTTCCAGTTCACGAGGGCAGGGATTTAAGAACATGAGCAATAGGCTGGGAAGGCAGTGGGATCGACAGTCACGCGAAGGCGTTAAGGCCTCATAACTCCACGTCTCAGAACTGACCAATTTGGGTTGCCAAAACAGCCAGGCTTATGCTGAAATAGGGGAAGTCTAATGTATGCAAGAAACCCTTTTGAAATAACTGTGGTGCCCAGGCCAAGCAGATGGAGCCTGGGACTGAGTGTGGCCTCTGGCTCGGTTTCCTTTCTTTGGTCTGATACTTCATGTATTTGAATATAGTTGAATTTTATTATTTTTTTTCTTACAGAAATATTTTTAAAAATTAAAAAAAAAAACTCAAAGTGAACAGAGTTAACTTGTTAAATCAGAATGGTTCTCTTTGACCCACTCTGATCTATTGTGTAAATATTTATTTAGACTATTTTAATAATGCATATTATTTACCCCACTGTAACATCATGTAAACTAAATATGTTTTTAAACAATTTTTAAGACTTGTAATTACCCTGAAAATAAGATTTATAATGGAAAGACCAGACCCTTTGCCACGGCAGCACTCCTGGGGGCTGCCCCTACACAGGCTCATGACTCAGAGCCACTTTATTGACTTCCTTTTACATAATCCTCTTTTCCTCCAAACTCATTCTCCACAGAGGGAAGACATTGACATTTTCCAGTTCCAGATCTCTTTTCAGCATTTTGGATGATGTTCCATTATACACAATGGGAGAGGTTCTAGGATGTACAGGGAAAAAGCACTTGGATTGGGGTTAGACATCCCAGTGACTAGCAATGGTTTGGTCTGCAGAGAAAACAGCCTGCTTATTTGGAAAGTAATTTTCTTAAAAAGAGTTTTTAATGAGTCACTAATCAAAGCAAGGGATCCTGAGGATCTCCTATCTCCGTGATCCACAAGTGCTAAGAAAAAAATATAAAAGACAGAGTCTGTCCTGTGGGTTGCTTTCAGAATTCTTACTGCACAAGGTAGGGTGTCTGCTCAAAATAAAATGTGAGCCATATCTGTCATTTTAAAATTTCTAGTAACCAAAAAAAAAAAATAATAATAAAATTTCTAGTAACCACATTTTAAAAAGTAAAAAGAAACAGGTGAAATTGATTTTAATATATTATTAGCACAAAAATATATCAAAAGTACTATCATTTCAATGTCGGATCAATATAGAAATTTATTAATGAGAGATTTTACTTTTTTTTTTCATATTATATCTTTGAAATCTAGTGTGTATTAAACACATCTCAATTCGAGACTAGCTGTATTTCAAGTTCTCAGTAGCCACGCATGGCTATTGGCTACAATACTGGACAGTGCGGATCTATACTCATTCCTTCAAATGAAATATTCCGTTAATCTCACAGTATGCCCAATTCCCAGTTATTTAGGGGCTGATTATCTAGCTTGGTAGTTCCTCAGGCCTCTGATTTATTATTATCTTTTTGCTTTCTGCCCTGTGGCTGCTTTATCTTTTGCCTATCCCCCAAAGCCAGAATAAGCTAGTGGAGGAAAGAAAGCTAAGATGCTAAGATGTGTCTTTGGGGGAAAGTTTCCTCTGGAAAGAGCAGAGAGTCTAGTCCTTAATTTAGATGTGTTTGTGGGATCATCAGCAGATCCAATGCCTAGTCTGTTGCAGACTTGGTAAGAAATCTCTCTTGATGACACAATGCTCTTAGTCTTTCCATGTTAAAGCAGAACCTTTATGGTAGAACTGGCTCTTAAGACAGGCCCCAAAGGCCATTATTGATAGAAACAGCCTTGCCAAAACTTGGGAACACATTCTGTCTAGGTTTTCATGCCTGGGTGGGGAAAGGGGGGACCTAAATGAATAGTAAGCCCTCTTTTCAGAAAAGAGAGAACCTATTCAACTGAAAGTTTTTGAACCTCTCTGCCTCTCAGCAAAAGTAAGGAGGGTAGATCAGGGAGGGGCTGCCTCAGGACAAATACCATCTCCAGCTTTAGTGGGACCCTTTGGATGACCAGCATGCTAATAGGCATCAGTGAAGCCACACTCATTTCCTTCCTGCCTCTTAAAGGGCCCCTGTCTCCCCCGTACCAGGTCCTCCTAAAGTTCTGCTGCCTCAGGCTGTTTAGGGACCATCGCCTGTCTATTGGTCATTTGAGCTCTCCTTAATGTTAGTCCCTGGGCAATGCTTGCTTAATGTTTTTGTTGAATCAACAGAGGGCCCGAGGCCTTAGGTTTTTTTTCTTTTTTTGGTTAAGGTCTCTGCCCCAGGCATGGTGCTCAATATCTTGGCCAAATAAATTACTTTCCTTGAATATCCAGGAATCTTTAGACTAAAGCAATGAGGAGTTACCACCTCACCCTCAAACTCCAACATGATCTATGCCTTAGAGTTATTTTTGTTGTCTGCTTTCATGTAAAAGCAAGAGTATTTGGAGCAAGCTGCAGTACTCCAAATACACAATAGGCCTTTTCTTTATCGTTCATACAACGTTTCTGGTTTAGGTATATGTAGATGGGCCATGTTATTTGTCCAGAGGAAGAGAGTGTAAAGATATAAGAATAATTTTTTAGTCCTAAATGCTGTTTTGTTTATTTTTTGTCAAGATATTTACCAGTGTCAGATTCAAATTATAGTACTGTGTAATTATGTATAAAGTTTTTTTTTATTTATTTGAAATTAGACTAGATATACATTTTTAAATTTAACATCTGGCTGGACAGTGTTCTATTAACTCATTGAATGTGTTTCCTTTGTCTTGTGTTAATAAATATTGATGCCTGATTGTGTTTAATGCTTCACATGTTGGGAGGACTGATAAATTGGAATTAATAAAATTTTATTTTAACTTGGATAGTGAGACCCAAAGATGGCTGGAGAGGTCTTAGGAAGATGGCTGGAGAGGTCTTAGGAAAATGACCAGAGAGATCCAGAGTTATAGCAAATCAGTTCTATAAAAGGAGGCCAGATTGAGGAACAGTAGAGAGTCATTTTGGGCCTTTTGTCTGGAACAATTATAGCTTAGTTTTCCTCCTACCCATGTGGTATTTGGTAGTTTTAAACTTTTAAGCATACATGTTAATTTTTTAAAAATCTGTAATTGATGTGGGTTTCAACTTTTCTTTTTTAAAAAATTTTTATTTATTTTTGGCTGGGTCTTCGTTGCTGTGAGCATTCTTTCTCTAGTTGTGGCAAGTGGGGGCTACTCTTCATTATGGTGTGTAGGCTTTTCAGTGCAGTGGCTTCTCTTGTTGTAGAACACGGCTCTAGGCACATGGGCTCCATAGTTATGGCACACGGGCTTAGTTGCCCTGTGGCATGTGGAATCTTCCCAGGCCAGGGATCTAACCCATGCCCCCTGCATTGGCATGCAGATGCTTAACCACTGAACCACCAGGGAAGTCCTGGGTTGCATCTTTTCTAAGGTAATATTTCATTTGTGCTACCATTTCCTGGTTTCAAGAAACTTGATAGGAGTTTTTATCAAGTTGTGCATATTCTACAACACTGAAACTGGTCTTTGAATTATAGTTCAAGTTATTCAGGCAGCTGAAAACTTTTTAAATTTTACACACATTTATTGAGTGCCTAACTCACTAGACAGAAGTCACTGTGATCACATCTGATGCTAGAGGGAGAGAAACAGCAGGACAGCTCTGGCCCAGAACTACGTATTGGGAGACATTCTTTTAAAAGTGGTAATTGAAGTTGTGGAAGTGGATGATGGTGCCAAGAAAGATCATATAGAGGGAGACAAGACTTAATAATGGAGCCACAGAGAACATGAGCCTTTAAAGGCTGAGGGAAGAAGAAGAATCTACAAAAGGGAAAAGGAATTGCTGGAGAGACAGGGTCAAAACCAGGAAGGATATTAGGCATGGAAATCGTAGGAAGAGTTTCAAAGGGGAGGGAGTGCTCAACAGTGCCAAAGTTCAGTGGAAAATG